TCTTTGAGCCTCTGTTTCCTCATCTGTAAAATGGGCATCCTAACAGGGCAGTTTGGGAGGATCAAATGAGATAGCAAAGGACTTCGTAAAGCACAAAGCATTATATAATTATAAAGGATTATTACTATTACTATTAGAGAGAGAGAGACTTTGGCATAATGGATTTAGGACCAGACTTGAAATTGGGAAGATCTGGGTTCAGATCTTGCATCTGTCTGACACAATCTGTGTGATTGTGAACAAGTCACTTAATTTCTCAGGGCCTCAGATAACTGCCTAAGGCTAAATTATAGAGTAGCTGGTCTGTAACCTTGAAGAGGCATTCGTACACAGAGGTCCAGACTTGAGAAAATATTCATTGTCCCTCCCCCATGGTACAGGTCTTCATCACCCCATGCCTGGACTTTTGCAACAGCCTACTGGTTGGTCTCCTTGCCTCCTGTTTCTCCCTGCTCCTGTCCATCTAATCTTTTTAAAGAGCAAGTCTGACCATGTCAATATTCAATAAGCTCCAGTGACTCCCTATCACGTTCAGGATTAAATAGAAAATCCTTTGTTGACATACAAAGTCCTCTATAACTTTACTATCCCCCTACCTTTACTTTTCTAATCTTCTTGTGCCTTTTCCCCTCTGTCCCCCAATCCAGACTCCCCCCTTCTCCTTGGCCAGGTCACTCCATTTCCTGACTCCAGGATTTTCACTCCTCCTCTCCTCTTCCTGTCTTCTGCCAAGTCTTAGCTAAAATCCCACCTTCTACAGGAAGGCTTTCCATTTCCCCCTTAATATCAGTGCCTTCCCTCTGTGGATTAACTCCAGCTTATACTATACATGGGCAGCTAGGTGCACAACTGGGCCTGGAATCAGGAAGACCTGAATGCACATCTGGCCTGAGATACTTGCAAGCTGTGTGACTGGGCAAGTCACTTAACCCTGTTTGCCTCAGTTTCCTCATCTGTCAGATGAGCTGGAGAAGGAAATGGCAAACTACTCCAGTGTCTTTGCCAAGAAACCCCAAAAGAGGTCAAAAAGAGTCTGAAATGACTGAACAGGTAACACTATGCATAGCTTATTTGTACAGAGTTATTTGTACGTTGTCTCCCTCATTAGACTGTGAGCTCCTTGAGATCAGGGACTGTCTTTTTACCTTTCTTTGTATTCCCTGCAGTCACATAGTAACTGGAACAGTAGGCATTTAATAAATGTTTATTGACTGACATCTGCAGATTGCAATCCATCTAAACCTCATCCTGTGCGATTCTCTTCTATGTCTTTCAGAGGGACGGCCTAATGTGCTGAAAGCGTCTTCTGGGTCTTTTAATATTTCATGTGTATGGGTTCAGCACTTGGCCACCCATTTATCTCTCACTCTCAATATGTGATCCATCCGCCTCCTTTTCTGGTCCTTCTTGATGATAATAGTAAGGTTTAAGAATTAATTGAGCATTCAAACATTTATTAAGCACCAACCTCCTATTTTCCAAGTGCGGTCCTCAGTACTTGAGACACAGAGACAAAAAAATGAAGCAGTCCTACCCTCAAGGAGTTTGCATTTTATTGAGAGAAAAACTAGAGACCTCAAATACCTACAAAGTAAATACAATGTAATTTGAGGTGGAGGGGAGGAAGTAGCAGCCGGAGGCATTGGGGAAAGATTCCCCTCAGGGGAGATGTTTACGCTCAGCTTTGAAGGGGAGGAAGGATCCCAAGGTGGGAGAGTGTATTCTAGAACCGAGAAATGGAATGTCAAATGTGAGGAAGAGCAAGAAGGATGGACCACAGAGTACACAAACAGAAATAATACATGATAAGCCTGGAAAAGTAATTACTTAAAAAATCAAATAGAGATGACAGACGACTTTTGTGAGGATTATGAAAAAGGTAAGAGAAACGTTGTTTCAGTCATGTCAGACTCTGTGGCCCCATCTGGGATTTTCTTGGCAAAGATACTGGAGTGGTTTGCCATTTCTATCTCCAGCTTAATTTACAGATGAGGAAACTGAGACAAACAGGGTTAAGCGACTTGGTCAGGGTCACGCAGCTGTTAAGTGTCTGAGGACAGATTTGATCTCAGGAAGATGAGTCTTCCTGACTTGAGGCCTGGCACTCTATCTGCTGCGTCACCACATGGATTTTTACTAGTCTCTACCTCCCACGGAAATGCTGGTAGCTGTAAGAGGACAGGTACTGGGGGTAAGTCCAAGCCATAGTCCAAGGGTCTGACTTCCTTTAGTCCAGAGAGATCAGAGAGTCATCAGTGGAAAGGACCTTAGAGGGGGATTCTAGCTCCTTCATTTTATAGATGTTGAAGAGGTCCAGAGAATTTAAATTACCTTGCTAAAGTCACCCAACTAGTAAGGAGCAGCGTTAGGATTTGAACCCTGGCTTTTGGACACCAGAGCCTGGGCTGTTTTCAGACTGCCTTTCAGGACAGTCTAAAAGAGGCCCAGACTGAGTTTCTCGGCGGAGCCGGTGGGGCTGAGGAGCAGGACCAGGAAGTTTCTATGGGGCAGCGTTGCTGGTGGGAGAGAAGACAGACAATGCCTTTAGTGGGTAGGCTTAGCCAGTTGCTTCAGCCCCAAGTAACAGCTGATAATACTGAAGCTTAGAAGGCACTGGTTTAGATGACTTTACTGTTAGCGGCTCCCAACCAGAAGCATTGCTGTTGGCTCCCAAGAGTCTACTCAGCAGGCAGTGAGAAAACCATTTTCTCCGTGTGACTCCCTGGATGCCCAGGCCCTGGCTAGGCCCGTGTTCCTTCTCACAGGCCATTAGCAGTTTTCCATATTCTCAGTGATGGGTCCCGAGCTCCCAGTCCATCTGTCTGGCCCCTCCTTTTTCCCACTTCTTAGCTGGGAGCCCAGGGCCATCTGGGTGGTGCCAAGTGGAGGGGATTGGAGACCAGTTATGAAAGGAACTCCTTGTTCTTTCTTTCCTGTCTTATCTGTTCCCTGCAAGAATCTGTAGCATTCTGCTCTCCCTTGCCCCAAAGCCATCTGATGATATCCTCCCAACACCATACTGTGGGCTCCAGTGGTGGTCCACCCCCCAGGGACACGATGAGGCACTCACATACTCACATCCTGGCTCTGACACCATTCGTGCGTCCTTGGGTAAATCACTTTACTTCTTTGACACTTTCCTCATCTGTAAAATGGGAATAATAACCCTTTCACTATCTCTCACAGGGTTGTTGTGGAGGAAGTGCTTGGTGAACCAACTATAGACTGTGAGCTAATATTAGGAGCGTGTGAGGGTCCGTGTGGGCGAGCAGAAAGAGCGTTTTTAGACTTGGAGTCAAGGGACCCAGATTTAAATTCTGGCTCCAATAGCTGTGTGACCATGAGAAAGTCGTTTAAACTCTTTGACCTTCAGTTAATTCATCTGTACAATGGGAATAATAATTCTTACTTCATGGGGTTGATGTGGGTGAGGAAATCGCTTTGTAAATCTTGAAGCACCACATTATTCTATTATTATTACATACTCTGAGCCAGGATCCAGACTTCTTCCTTCAACACTTGCCACCCCCTCTCACCTCCCCCAGGAAGGTCTCATTCTGCTAACCTCCTGCTTCCCATTGAAGCTCCCCACATCTCCCCCCTCCCCCAGCCCTTGTCCTGTCCTGTCCTTTCACACACTCCCTAGCCACCAGCCCCCTCTCCCCCACACCCCCCAGCCATCTGCTCCTTTCCATACAAGAGGGGGGTGAGTCGTCTGCGCTGTTTTCAGAGGTTTTTCTGTGGTTTCTCAGGCTGCTTAGGAGACAATCCTGTAAATATAGCTTTGAAACAGCAACAAAAACAAAAGGAAGAAAATGAAAGTGAGAAAACCTAGGCTTGAAATCTAACTCCGTCTCTGACAGTGTGAGGGACAGCAAGTCACTTCTCACTGGGCCTCAGTTTCCTCATCTACAAAATGAGGCCCCTTGGACTTTGTGGTTCATGTACTCTAAGTGTCTTTCTAGTTTGAAATTTTTGTGACTTAAGTAGCAAAGCTAGAATCTGAACCCAGGATCTAAGATCCAATTATATCTCACATTGCCTTTTCTTCCATCCTTCCATTCTTCCTTCCTTCCTTTCTTTCTCCCTCCCTTCCTCCCTTCCTCCCTTCTCTCTTTTCTCTCCCTTCCTCCTTTCCTCCATTCTCTTCCTTGCTTCCTTCCTTCCTTCCTTCCTTCCTTCCTTCCTTCCTTCCTTCCCCAGTTTAGTGCTGAAAGGGACCTTTGAGGTCATCTAGTCCCATGCATGCCCCATTTCATAGATGAGGAGCTAGGATCCAGAGGATTTGCCTAACATCACACAGGCAGCAAGTGGCAGAACCACGATCGGAACCCAGGTCTTTTGATTTTAAAGCCAGCATTCTTTCCATTGTACCAGTCTGGGTCCACTCTGACCGCTAGCTCCTCATACAGAGGTAGAATAGAGCTCTGGAGAAGTTTCAACAAAATAAACCTTGTGAATTAATAGCTAGTATTTATGTAACACTCAAAGATTTACAAAGCAATCCCTTTCAGCTCTAATCCTGTGAGCCTGTGATCTTAATTAGACTGTAAGCTCCCCAACTGTGGGGACTACGGCTCGACAGCATGATGGGTTGGAAGAAGTACTGAGCTGTATTGTCAGAACCCTGGGTCATAGTTTCATGTCTGCACTAACTTATTGTGTGGCCTTGGACGAATCCTTTCCTTTCTGGGGACATCAGTTTCCCTACCTGTAAAATGAAGGCATTTGAACTCATAACCTCTGTGGGATCTTCTGGCTCTCACATTTTTAAAAAGCTTGTCTTTGGATTTTGGGGTGCTGTGAGCCCTTGTCCCTATCCCTACATCCCCATCCCTCAGTGGTCCTGTTCCCTTGCAGGGTCATGTTCTCCTACCTCCTGTCCCAGAGTGAGGCCTCTCCCCATCTCTAGCACTTATCCATGGACTATTGCTGCTGGCTAGAGTTCTGCTTCTAGGCCCTAATTTTCTTTTTGCCTTTTTTTCCCTCCTCCTCCCCAGGGGTGCCTTTTCCATCGTTAGAAGGTGTGTGAAAGTGTTAGCTGGTCAAGAGTATGCAGCCAAGATTATCAACACGAAGAAGCTCTCAGCCCGAGGTAAGTGACTTAGCTCTGGGTTTTTCCTTCCCTCTTGGGATTCTTCTTTCACTTTTCCTACCTTTATACCCCATTCCCCAGCAACTGGGCTTGGGTCAAGGCTAGGCCCTGTCTTGCCTGAGAAGAGCTTGGGGGGAAGGAGAGGGAAGGACGGGATGGAGGAGAAATGGCTTTTCCCCCCTCTTCTTCTTCTTCAATTCTAATTCTTTGTTCTATGATTGGCCCTGAATTTGGAGTCAGAGGACCTGGTTTCAGATCTTGGTTCTCTGCCATTTACCAGCTGTGTGACCTTGGGAAAATCACCTAAACTTTCCGGGCTTTGGCTTTCTTCTCTATAAAAGGATTTTAGACCGCATGTCCTGCTTTCTTTCAGGCTCTTTCCAGCTCCAAATCCTTTGATTTGATAAATTTCTACTTGCACTTTGGAATCATACCATTGCTTCTTTCTGAAGGATGCGGATGCTAGAGGCTATAGTTTATCTGACATGCTGTGGGTTTTTTGGGGCTAATGTATGCTTCTACTTTTAGCCAAGCTATAGGTAGAGAAGTGCTTTGTAGACATCCTTTTCCTTCTACTTGGGTATGTAGAAACCCAAGGTTAAAAACGGCTGTCTTCTCTGCCTCTTATTTCCCCCTCCTAGTGCAGGATCTTCTACTTCCCCTGATGAAATTTCATCAGAGCTATCTTGGCATAGTGGATAGATTGTTAGATTTGGAGCCAGGAAAGCCTGAATTTAAATCCTGTATCTCATACCTAATGGCTGTGTGGCCCTGGCTAAGTCATTTAATCTTGTTGATTAGGTAGCTTCCTAATATTTATTCAATCCAATGAGCATTTGTTAAGTACTCACCATATTCAAAGCACTGTGCTAGGCACTCAGGATACAAAGACAAAACTAAAAATGTGACCTTCACCCTAAGAAGGATATATTCTCTTGGGGGGGAGGGACTGTTCCATATTTAGAACCAAGAGCACACATGGTAATCTGTAGAGGGAGAAAGTACAAACCAGGGGGATCAGGAAAGACTTCCTGTAAGAGGTGGCATCTGAGCTGAACCTTGAAGAAAGCCAGGGATGCTAACAGGTGGAGGTAAGGAGTGAGTGTATTCCAGACATTCCAGGCATGAGGGAACCATGTGTGCAGAAGTGTGAGATAGGAGATGAATGCCAAGCTGGGAAACAATGAGTAGTTCAGTTTGACTGGAATTTGTCTACTAAGTTAATGGATGAGTTAAAATGCTCATTGACGGAGGGATTTCTCATGACGTTGAAACCTTAACATATTGATATAAATTTCATCATATTAGATTTAACTTAACCTTTTGGAATATAAACAGGGTTATAGTAGTAGTCAGATTTGCAGCTGCTAGGCACTCACCACTCTGTGCCTTCTTTATCTTTCAGTCTTTCATTTATGTGAATGGATGGTCCTGCCTGCTTGAAGTAGTGCATTTTGTGAATGCCTATGCTCACATTGATATAGAATTTTAGGTTATCCAAATCATTTTGTCATAATGACACTGTGAGGTAGGTAGTGTATTATTATTTTCATTTTACAGATGAGGAAACTGAGACTCAGAGAGGTAATGGGACTTCCCAAGGGTCACATTGCTCTTAAGTGTCAGAGTTGGGATTCAAACCCAGGTCTTTTCTGACACCAGGTCCAACACTCTTCTCACTACTCTAGGTTACCTCTCTAAGTCAGTGCAGGGTGCAAGAGGATCCCAGCCCATTGCCTTCTAGTCTTCTGCTCTTCTCACTCTTCTTTATTTTCTTCCAGAATTAATGCCAATGGCCCAAAGGGCTCTATGTCCATTAATCTGGAGGAATAACCTTCTTTCCTGATCTACCATCATCCACCTGTTCGGGATTGACATAGAATGGGCCTGGCTCAATTGTGTTTCTGTCAGCAGCTGTGAAATGCTGACATTTGGCATCTTCTCAATTTTATCTGGTTTCCTTGGAATCTTAATCTGTTGTCAGTCAGGTTAGCCAGAGCCAGGCACCAGATGCCCCTGAAAACATTGTAGTCCATACCCTCTATGCCCACGCCTGACTCAGGCCAAGGTCTTGATTCTACCCTTTCCCAGAAACTCTCGTTTCTCTCCCAGGATCTGAAAGCTCATCTTTTTCCCTGCTCCAAGACTAGTTATTGGGGACGATATTCACAAATCTCCCCATTGCACAGGGCCCCTCCAGTTAGGAGTACCCCCAATTAGAAATGCATGTGGATGAGTCCTACTGGGGGTGGTCCGGGCCCGAAGCAAGCAACAAAGAAGGACCATGCTACTCATAGATTCCTGTTCCTCACAGTGCTTGCCCCTATCCCCTGGCTGACCTGCTTGTAAAGGGGGCAGTTCTGCTGTTCTTCCATGTCCCTAAGAGGTAACCAAAGCCTTTGGGTCAACACTGAGCCTCTCTTCCCACCTACCCTTTGCAGTACTTGACTCAGCCTGTATTTCTTTTTGTGTCCAGCAGATCACAAAATCCAATGGATTACTTCTAGGATCAGAAGGGGTAACGTTTACGTGTCGCTTTAAAGTTTGCTAAGCACTTTATATATATTAATTATCTTGTTTGATCTTCACAAAACTCCTCTGAGGAAAGTGCTATTCTCATTCCCATTTTACAGATGAGGAAATTGAGGCACAGATTTAGATTAAGGGATTTGCCCAGGATCACACACACTAGTAAGTATCTGAGACAGGATTGGAACTCAAGCCTTCCCGACTTCAACTCTAGCACTCTCTTCACTATGCAAACTGCCACACTGGTCACTGAGAGTTCTAGTCACTGAGGGGTTGTGTGTCTTTGGATAAGTTCACTTCCCCTACGTGTCCTTCAGTCGCTGTTCTGTTGTTTTTTCAGTCGTGTCTGAGTCTTTGCGACCCCATTGGAGGTTTTCTTGGCAAAGATACTGGACTAGTTTGTCATTTCCTTCTCCAGCTCATTTCACAGATGGGGAAATTGAGGCAAACAGTGGTTAAGTGTCTTTCCCAGGGCCACACAGCTAGGAAGTGTCTGAGGCTGGATTTGAATTCAGGTCTTCCAGATTCCAGTCCTAGGGCTCTATCCAATGCATCACCAACTGATTGAGCCCCATTGCCTTCAATCCCCCAGACCTCCTTAGATTTTAGCCTTCCAGCAGGAAAGAGGCTTAGTGCAATTTCTCTGAGCAGATTTTTCTGCTGGCTATTCAGGGAGTGGCATAAACTAAAAAAAAAAAGGAGTTTCTTACTTCTTACTCCTGGGAGTATTTGGAATAGCTCCAGGCATCCATAGCTCTCAGGGGAGTCTACTCCTGGCTCCCCAATTGGAAGAGCAGCACTGTAGGATTCAGAGTAGAAGGCAACCTGAGAAATCTTGTCCAGTGACTTTATTTTACAGATAAGGAAACTGAGGCTCAAAGGTAGGAGGGACTTCCCCTGAAATTATACAGTAGATAAGCAGAAAAGCCAAGATCTGAACCCAGGTATTCTTACTCCAAATCTAGTTTCTTCTCCTCTGCACCATGTTTGTTGCATTTTACATCAGTGTGAGAGGGGAGGGAGTGTGGAAGGCTCCAAGGTCATTGTGGGAGGTGGTGGTGATGGTGGTGGTGGTGCCTGGCTCTTGATTTCATCTATGTTTGGGAATGGGGTTGGAGAGTGGTTGGTTTTCTTGGCACTCAGCCATCCCATAGAACAATGAAGCCTCTGTGACCAAAATCCCAGGCCTTAACAAGCAATGGAACCTATCAGCTTAACATCTCCGGTCCAGCTCCTTCGCTTTCTCTATGCAGTTCTGTGAAGGTTATGGCCAAAGCCACGGGCAGGAATGTTACATCAATGGGGCTCCAAAAAAAAATTATAGTTCATCCAAAAATATGAGTCGCTGGTCAGAGGAGAGACTTCCAAGTGGTGCTCAAGAAGTGGGACTTCCAAGAGGGACCCAGGCAGCCCCCGGTGCCTTAGTGGGCTCACTTTTCAATTTCGGCACTCAAGTAGGACCCATTTGAAGTAATGGGAAAAAGGAAATGGGGGTGTGAGAAAGGACATTTCTCTCGGCTTCCATATTCCTGTTTTGTTTTTGACTCCCAAGTCACTGGGGCCCAGTTTTCTCATCTGTAAAATAAAGCTGTTGGGTAAGATCTCCCTGGTCCTTTCTGACTTTTAGATCGTAGGATGTTTCTATTCTGATTGGGCGGGAAATGGGCAGAACCTGGCTCGTTGTCCTGGATCTGTTGGTAATTTGCTGTGTGATCAAAGACAAGGCATTGGACTGGATAGTTCTTCCAGTAGTGAAGCCTTTAATTCTGTGGCTCTATAAATTAACAAGGGAGAGGAAGAGAGGCATAGCAGATAGAAAGCCAGCCTTCGAGTGAGGAAGACCTGAGTTCAAGTGCTGATTATGAAATATACTGGCCATACGACCTTGGGCAAATCAAATCGATTAGCCTTTCAGTGCTCCAGATGACTCCTTTGTTGAGCTGGTGTCAGTCCACATTGGCAAAGGGAATTTCCCTGAGAGGGAGTTCTTTACACCAATGAGATATAAATGTAAACTAGCTCATATAACTTATTAAAATTAATCAAGGGCCTTCCTCGTGACAACTGAGGGAGGTAAGAACTATAGCTTTTCCCATCTAGGTTTTACAGATGGGGAAACTGAAACTCTAGAAGGATCAATGTCCCTGGGGGTCATGGAGCTAGTGAAGGTGAGAAGCAGAATTCAGGTCTTTCTTATTCAGTCTAGCACTCTCTATCTAGCATCATGCTGCCTTGAAACAAGGGATGAATTCGAGACATACTGATTGTCTTTTGCAGTCTTGGCAGAGCAATTTCCTATTTAACCAAGCAAAGTGGACTAGGCCTGGAGCTGTGTGGAATCTGGTCAAGTTTGAAAGACATTAGGCAATAGGTTTTAAGTAAAAATGGGGAGGAAAATGGACCCAGGGAGGGAGCATGGTACTTTCAATAGAAGAATATTAGAACTGCCAGGAAAATGAGACTGTGTGTGTTCTCTGCCTCGGCTCCTCTCCCCCCCTCCCCCCCCAACTTGATGAAAATCCTTTCTAGCTAACTCCTTCCTCAGGAACTGGGGAGGTAAGTAAATTGACTTTCTTCCTACAGAGATTCTCTGCTTACTATGCGTTGTTAGAAGCTCTTGGGTTGGTCTATCTCTTTGCTGCAGAATCTTTTCCTTTTTTTCTAGGAAGTAACTTCTCCTGATGAAGGGGATGGGGAAAGGTCAAGGATTTTCTAACTCCTTCCTAAACAGCCCCTCCTGGAAGCTAGAAAGTTTAGATAGGAAGCAGCTATAATTGGTAGAAAAGCAGCATGTCAGTTTTGATCTGTGGGTCTCCAGAATTCTGAGAGGTGTGGGTAGGGGGCTGGGGGCTGGAAATTGAGGCTTGGGCAGGGGTTGGGGGGACAGGCTTTGAGGAGCTGATGAAATGAAACTTATTTTGTATGATTCCTTTCCTCTGCATTCCAGTCAGACCCAATTACTCACTGTTTCTGATCTCATCCTGACCTCCTTGGTCTTTCTACATTTTCTTGTACTATTTCTCATGCCTGAAATGGATTCCTGAAACTTCTGTCTCCTTCTTTTTTGAAATTCTCCCCTACCCCCACCCCTTTTGGTCCCAACTCTGATGCCATTTTCTCCAAGAAGCCTAACTATCCTCCCCTCCCAGATGAAAGTTGTTTGTCCTTCCTTAGATTTCCTGTAGCACCCCCCTTCTCCCCTTTGTACTTATCCATGATTCCATGATTGGGGGCCAGCCCCATACTCACCTTTGTGCCAAGACTAAGCACGTAGGAGTTAGAGGCCTTAGAAAAAGGAATGAAACTATAAGAGTTCATCCTCCCTCTCTAGAAGGATTAGGAGAAGGAGAAAGGATGTTGTGGATAGTGGTTTCACCAAGGGCAGGGTACCTGTGGCGTTGTGTTTTACACTAGGATGCTCTGTATGCTAAGGCTTTATCCTTGTCCTTATCTCCTTTGCCCTTCAAAAATGATGGTAAATAAATAATCTCAGGGAAGGAGGGGCACAGAGCCAGGAGCTATGATCTAGAACCATTTTCCTTGAGCTATTCTTTAAAAAAGATAGGCAGGCCTGACTCCAGAGCTGGGATGGTGTGTGTGGTATACACTGGAGGCAGGCTTCCCTCTCTCTCCTGTGTGGCCAGCAGCCCTGGCCTCAGAAAAATCCTCTAATTTCCCAGAGGCCTGGGCTTGGACACAGGCCCTTCTTTCTCCTTAGTTCACCTAGGACCCAGGTAGGATTTTCCAGCAAGATTTTCCAAGTGGTAGCCAAGAATGAGTAAAACAAACTTCCTACCGCAGGTGTCTCATCCTACACCCTCCCTAGTTCGGCCATAGAGCTCATCTAGCCTCCTAAGCATGCTGATCCTGTGTCCAATTAGCCCGAACTCAGCCTCAGCCTCACCACGGTAAGATGAGCTGCCAATGCCTGGCCTCATCAGCACCAAGGAGCTTCAGCAGCTCTGGGGCAAGGGCTGTTAGAAAGTAGAGAAGCCTTGGCAAGTGTGTTTACGGCCTGGTTTCCAGAGACGGCCTCCTTCCTTTGCAATCTTTGGTTGACACCCTTGCAGAATCTAGAATACAGAACATCAGAGCTCGAAGGGACCTTAGGACAAGGACTATGAGAGCTGGAGGGACCTTGGAATGGACCACAGAATGTCAGAGCTCAGAAGCGACTTCAGAGATGAGCTAATAATGCAAGCCCCTCTTTTCTATCAATGAGAAAATTTCCCCTCCCCTCCCCCCATGGTGAAGCAGGAAGTTTTGGGGTTCAGAGGGGGGATGAGGGGACTACTCTGTCTTTGGGAGGAAAAATCTACTTCGCTCCCCCATCTACAGTCCAACCCAATAGGGCTCTGACCTGGAGTTCCTCGTGTTTCAGATCATCAGAAGCTGGAGCGAGAGGCCCGCATATGCCGCCTACTGAAGCATCCAAACATTGGTAAGAGAAATCTGCCCTTCGCCACTCTCCACCAAGGGGAGTGATGGCTGAGAGGGGCTGCACTTGTGGGTAAGAGGATCAGGAATGGGGCAGGAGTGGGGTGCCAATGGGTGGTGAGGATGGGGCTCGTGTCTCCTGGTATTATGTGTGGTGACTCCTGGACAGAACGGGGGAAGGGGAGATGGAGAGGTAATTTTGGACTCTTTGGAAGGGGAAGGGAGGGGACTGGGTGGGGGTGGAGGGCAGCCACATTCCTTAAGAAGCAGCTGGGGGTGGGGGTGGGGAAGGGGGGGGAGAAGAGAAGGCCTTTTCCGCCCAGCCTACGCCTGCCGGCAGCCTCCTTCAGAAAAGCTGTTTCAGGAAAACTCCTGAAGCTCCGAGAAAGATTAAAATAGTCCCCAAAGGGGAAAAAAAAATTCCCAGTGTACCCCCCTTACCCCCCACACACAACAAACCGACCAACAGTGATGCTGAGTCAATCTGCCACCTACCCCCACATGCACCCAGCACCCCCTCCCCGTCCCAGCTCTGCAGCAAGCCCCAGGCCCCCAAGGGGAAGTGTTCGGTGGCAGGGCAGGGCAGGGTGGGTACTTCTCTGGGGAAAGTAGGTTGCCTGAGGTGGCAAGTGTACTTAGACTGGCCTCACACACCTGGAATGGGAACCCTGGCAAGAATAGGCCCCTCTCAAGTCCACTCAAGGATGAAAACCCCCAAACTGTTATTGCTGGCCTTGCCTCAGGCTGACAGGCTTGTAGAGAGGCCTCTGAGGTATGACTTGGGCCATAGGACCTTAGAGCTGGGAGGGACAATTTAGGCTATTAATCCAAACTTCCTGAGGTGACTAAGCCACATGAGTGGCATTCAGTCCCACGTCCAGGTGGAATATTCTTTCTACTACACCTACCAATATGAGCAAGCTAGGGTTAAAGGAGGGTCCAGAGAGCCCCCAAACACAACGGCCAAAGCCTCTGCGGTTCCTATCTTTCCACCCGATTTGTTTCTTGGAGTCAGGTCCCATCTCTGCCAATTCCCTGGTCTCAACTCTCAAAACAAGGTGTCTGTCACCCTCTCCCTCTCTGGCCTTGAGCCGTCTGGGATGAAAGGTTTCCCTGATGCACAACCCATCCTTTCTCTGCACAAGTTTTTCCCCATTTATCCTCCAAGTCTGAGGCAACCCTGAGGTAGATAGAGCCAATGTAGAATAGTGTGTAGAGTCCTGGACTTGGAATCAGAAAGGTCTGGGTTCAAATCCTGCCTCTAAAAATGGGTGTGTGACCCTGGGCAAAATTAGTTAATCTCATTGTTTCCTCACTTGTAAAAGGAGGTCTAAAGGTCTCTTTTAGATCTAAATCTATGATCTTACGAGATGCCAAAATAATAAAAGCTAGCATTTATATGATGCTTTAAGATTTAAAAACTGTTTTATGTATATAAAATCTCATTTGATTTTCACAACAACCCTGTGAGATAGGTGTTATTCTTATCCTCATTTTTATAGATGAGGAAACTGAGTCTGAGTGATTTGCCTAGACCTAGGGTAACACAGCTAAGTAAGTGTCTGAGGCAAGATTTTTTTTGGGGGTGGGGAGGGAGTCAATCTGGGTTAAGTGACTTGCCCAAGGTCACTTAAATCTGAAGCCAGATTTTAACTCAAGTCCTGACTCCAGGGCAGGTGCTCTATCTACTGCACCACCTAGCTGTCCCTGAGGCAGGATTTGAACTCAGGTGTTCCTGGCTCCAAGTCCAGCATTCTGGGCACTATGCCACCTAGCTACCACGACCAACATCTGGGACCTTCTGGACAAAGCCCTGTTTCTTAGGTGCTATTCAAGGCCTGGAGTGAAAAAGGAACTAGAACCCTACCCCCTCCACCCTCCCAATCCTTTACTGCCTTTCTTCTCCTCTTGGTATCTGAGATTTCAGCTTAGCAGGGCCCCTGTCAGGCTTGATACTAGTCAGGCAGCTAGATGGTGCAATGTGGAGACTTATACACAGGAAGATCTGAGTTCAAATCCTAGCCTCTCTCAACCTCAGTTTCCTCATTGGTAAAATGGGGATAATAAAAGCACTTACCTCATGGGACTGGTGTGAGGATCAAATAAGACAACATATGTAAAGTTCTTTACAGACTTCAGAGCCTGTATTAATGGCAGGCCATTATCGTCATTGGTTTCTAAGCCTCCAGCGCTTCAGCCATCGTTGTCTGGGACCCATAATGCCAGCCTGGCCCACCACCCTGTCAAATTGTGGCTATAGCTTCCCTCTATGCAGCTGGCTTAGTATCTGGCTCCTCCCAGTCTCCGACTCTCCTATTGTAGCTCCTACTCCCCTAATCCAGTCACTCATTCAAAAGATATTTATGGGACTGGGGGTGTGGCGTAGGAGGAGACCCTGGGCGAGGTGCTATGGGGGAGGGGCCCAGGATGAATAAGAGTTTCCATCCTGCGTGAGCTAGCTCCCAATAGGGAGGATATAAAACCAGCACTGTTGTGAGGCTCCAATAAGGTAATGGATTCCACAAGGTGCATGCACTTTGCACACCTTAAGGTGCTGTACAAATGTGAGTTATTATTATTATTATTAGCCTCCAGTTCCTGGGCTTCTAATCTGGTGATAACTTAATTCCTCGAGCTTTCCGCAGTATTCCTACTGAGCTCAAACAGTGCTTTTAGAACAATACGAGGGTATATCGGCAAATGTTTAAGAATCGGGCTCTCCAAGAAAAAAAAATAAGTAGGCACACACACACTTTTAAGTTTAATTTGCATTATTAATATTTTCTTCTCACTTTCTTCAGTCAAGACAATCAATGAAGTAAAAAAATCAAGCCCCGATTTAGAGGGATTGCTGATTTCTGAGGTGTAACCGCTTATGCTGACAATTTAACAACCAGTTCTGGCAAGTGTGTTAGAGCTGGCTCCTTGGTGAAAACACATAACTAGGCCGTGGAAAAAGGAACATAAAGGGAAATGGGGACTGAAAGATGACACCTGTTAGGGGGACTCGGGAAATAATGGTAGCTTACATTTATCCAGCGCCTCTGGCTTTACATGCATTATCTCATTGGATTCCTCGTACTCGATGAAATACCTGCCATTATCATCCTCAATTTACATATGGGGAAACTGAGTCTCAGAGTTGTTTAGTGGGAATAAGCATTTATTAAACTCTTACTGTCTGCCAGGTATAGTGCTAGATGCTTTGCAAATATTTCATTTGATCCTCCAACAACCCTGTGAAGTAGGTGAGCGATCATTCTTCCCATTTTACAGCTGAGGAAACTGAAGCAGAGAGAGGTTAAGTGACTTGCCCAAGGTCACCCAGCTAGTAAGTGTCAAGTGTCTGAGGTCAGATTTGAACTCAGGTCCTCCTGACTCCAAGGCCGGAGCTCTAGTGTCTGAATTTCAGCAGAAATCTTCCTGACTCCAGGCCCAGTGATCTGCCCTTTTTGCAGGAGACGGCATTTGAGCTGGACTTTAAAGAATGGGTAGAGCATCAACACGTGGAGATATCCTCAGTGAATCATTGCGTGAAAAAAAGAGGAGAGTCAGGAAAGCATAGGATATGTTTGGGGTACGGTATACAGAAGAATTTTTCTGCAGGGCTGAGTATATAGGATATCCCAAAGGTCTTAGTGCGATTTAAAGCTTTGTGAACTAAGACTTTTGGGACACCCCGTATAGAGGAACAATGCGCCATGAAGCTAGAAAGATTGGCTGGGGTCAGGATCTTTAGAGCCTCGAATGCCAGGTTGAGAAGGTGGACTTCATTCGGAAGCCAGTAGGGAGACAGCAAAGGCTTCTGAACAGAGAAGTGATGTGGTCGGACCTGGGTCTTTAGAAGATTCATCTGGCCGACTTTGTAGGATGGACTGGATGGGGGTGGGGGATGGGGAGCGGACAGGAAGCTCAATTAGGGGGTTATTTCTATAATCTGAACAAGAGGAGATTGAGGCAAGGAAAGAAAAGGATGGATAAAAAAGAAGCAAGGAGCAGATAGAATTGCTTGGGGAGAGGAAGACAAATATGACTGAGTATTATTCGAGCCTGGGTAACTGGGGGCGTGGAGGTGGAGCCCAGAAGGGTTGCAGTGTTTGAGGGTGACAACTGCCGCCAGCTATTTATACCCAGAATGCACTTCCACCTCCTTTTATCCCCCCTCCCCCTTCTCTGCTGCTTGGAGACTGGGGAGTGAGGACAGCTTCCTGAAGCTGCACAAGCAGTCCGCTTACTCCTTGATGGACAAGGCCATGTTGCCAGGGCATGGATCAAAGAGGAGAGGGAGGAACTGGAGGCCTCCTGGGAGACCTGTGGGCAGCTGCCTCAGCAGAGGAGGGGCAATGGGGAAGAGACCAGGTCCATGAACACATTTTCTTGGGGGAAGGGGAATAGAGCAGGTTACCTAACAGGGATGGAATTGGATGGGAGGAACGTGGGTTGGATGAGAAGAATGGGACAGAAGTTATGGGTCCCCTTTCTTCTGAAAAGGTTCCAGCTTCCAGCTATACTTACTCTGACCAACTTAGAAGGTAGCATGTATTCCCGGGAGGTGGGGAAGAAGAGAACAAGGTGGGAGGGCTAGGTCCAAAGGTTAAAAAAATTCCAAGCAGGAATCTCCCTAGCAGGTACAATGGATTTGGATTCAGAGACCTGGGTCTAAATCCCATCTCTGCTTCCTACTAGCCATGTGACCTTGGACAAGTCATGTAACTTACCTGGGCCTCAATTTCCTCATCTGCAAAGTACAAGGGTTGGATTATATGGCTTCTGAGATCCCTTACGGCTCAAATCTATGATCTTATGGGTTCAAATGCCAATTCTGCCTCTTACTGCCTTTGCGACTTTGGGCAAGTCACTCTGGGCCTCATTTTCCTCACCAGTAGAATAAGGGGGTTCGATTAGATTCTCTCTAAGGTCCTTCAATTCGAACTCCATAATCCTCTGAAGAATCTTAAGAGTCTTGGAGTTGGAAGCAAATCTTAGAAGGCATCTAGCCCAGGTTCCCACGTCTCTGCTCCCCCCACCCACCTAGTGCAGGAATCTGGGTGGTTTATAATACCATAAATATCATGCTTAAATTTCACGATTTCATCAGTGTGGGTGCATTCACCACTGAGGTAGATTCCAACCCCTCCCTGCTTAGGAGTAAATGCTTCAGAAGCTGCTATAACCAAACAGAAAGCCCTGAGGGGCAGAGGAATTTTCCTGGTTTGCTGGTCATGAACCTCACCAAACTTAGCTGAAGGCTGGTATCTGTTGAAGAGGCCCACAGTCTAGCCCTGGGCCCATACCTGAGATCTCTCCAGTTTGTTTTCCCTCTGGCTTGGCAGGGAGAGCTGGCATGGCATGTGGAAAACACTCTGTGGGTAGGATAAGACCGCCTAGATTGGAATTCCAGCTTTGCTATTTATTTTTCTGGGCCTCAGTTTCCTCATCTATAAAGTGAAGGGGTTGGGCTAGTTGAAGTCTAAAGTCTTGTGCAGTAATAAATCTTTAGCCTGTGATGCTCATGAGTGTGGAAGGCTATGGGAGGGCCTTTGAGAACTGAGGGTCCCCACCCATACCACCATGAGGCATCTGAGGAGGGTTTTAATGCAGGCATAGGGGGATAGGGTCACAGATAGACAGCTGGAAGGGACCTCAGAGGCGATCTGGTCTGATTCCTTCATTTTACGGGTGAGGAAACTGAGGCCCGTAAGTGATTTTCCCAAGGTCACAAGGATAGTAAATAGCAGAACTGAATTAAATTCCAGAACCTCTGACTCCAAATCCATCACTCATCCATGAAGCCCTATCAGGCACTTACCCTGGCTTCTTGCTAGCTGTTTGACCTTGGGCACATCATTTCACCCAGGTCTCGTTTGTAAAAGGAAGGGATTGGACTTAATGGCCTCTAAGGTTCCTTCTACTCTAACCCTATGAGCCTATGATGTTTAAGGTCCCTTCAGCCTCTTGATTCTATGTGATCCTACGTGGTGATGTCCTTCATGAATGGGGCCCAATGGGGGATGCTGAGTGTTGAGGCTTCAGTATTGGGGACTGGTTTGTGGGGCAGCTAGGTATCACAATGGATAGAGTGCTGTGCCTGGAGTCCTAGGAGACCTGAGTTCAAATCCAGCCTCAAACACTTACTAGTCGTGTGACCTAGGGCAAGTCACTTAACCCTGTTGGCCTCAGTTTCCTCAACTGTAAAATGAGCTGGAGAAGGAAATGGCAAACCACTCCAGTGTCTTTGCCAAGAAAACTCCCAAATGAGGTCACAAAGAATGAAAAATGACCGAATAACAGTAATATTCCTTTCCATCTGCTCCCATCTCCCTGTCCCCGCCCCACACAGTACAAACACCCCTGCCTTGTCCTTCTTGCTTGCTAAGGTTAAACTTGTAATCTGTGGCCAAGGAACAGGCAAATCCACCTTGATCTAAAATTTATAAGCTGTGTGAGCACAGACAAGTCTCCGCCTCTTTAAGCCTGGGCTCCCTCATCTACCTCACAAGGTTGTTGTGAGCAAAGTACTTTGTAAATTTTAAAGCTCTACGGAAAGGTGAACTATTATTAGTACTAGTTTCCCCTTGTTTTGCCGGGGCTCTGCATCCCCTCTGTCACAAAGCACCCACTGGGAATCCATGACCCAGCAGCCAGGCCTTCGGGCTCCCCAGGATCAGAGAGTGCAGGGAGGAATTGTAGGCCTCCAGGGAGCCACCTCAGAGGAGAAGGAGGAGTAGTGGGGAGGAGAACATATTTTCCTAGGGGAGGAATAAGAGAACTAGTTTCCCGAGAGGCGTGGAACTGGACTGGAGGGATCTGGGTTAGATAAGAAGCCGACAGCTGTTGTGGGCCCCCCTCCTTCTGAGAAGGCTCAGGACTTCCAGCTCAGGCAGTTGGTGGTATGTGGCCTCGAGTGAAAGCTTTATGGAAGGCCTGACTTGCAGCCCCCCTGCCCTTCTGTGGGGGGTTGAGAAGAGTCTGGCAGCACCTCATGGAGAAACCCGAATCTTGGCTTCGCTCTCTGAGCAACCCGTAGTACTCCAGTGCCTGTCTGGGGCAGATCGGATGGCTCCTCGCTCTCTGACATCAGATCTCAGCCCTCCCTCACTTCAATCCAATTCTCTTGCAAGTGATGACATCACCTTCCTGACGTCATGGTCCTCTCGATAACAAAACACAAGCAACAGTGACATCAGAGCCAGCCCAATTTCCACAATCTCACGTTTCGACAGCGTGCAGACCCTGATCCAGTCCCTTTCTGCTTTCCCAGTCCCCCGGGGGTGATGCTCGTGCTAAACGATGCTCATGTTTCTGGTTTTTTTAATTTGAGGGACGGTAAGGGGGGAAGATGAAGAGGAAAAGAACAGAACAGGGGAGGTAGTGGGAAGGGGCTTGTAAAGGACTTAGTCTAGTGCCTGGCATATAGTAGGTATTGCTAAAGACTTATTGCCGTCTCCCTTTCTGCAGTCCGACTCCATGACAGCATATCAGAGGAGGGGCATCACTACCTGATATTTGACCTGTAAGTATCAACCCAGAATCCTTTGCTGCTGTTTGCTGGCATCAGTCCTAGGCTGGGCAGGCAGTGGGCAAGGCCAACACAGTATAGACAGGGAGGGAGGGAGGTGGCAGGACCAGACAGGGTGGGTTTAGCTGGCCTCTTCTGCATCGAGGACCCTGAGAGGCTCAGAAGTCTTCCTGAGAGTAGGCCTAAAGGCATTTTGGGGTCTTTAATGAGGAAATGAGGGTCAGAGAGGTTGTAACTTGCCCATGGTCACACGACTAATAATGATTGGTGCAAAGTGGATTTGCTCAGCTTCTGGCTTCCTGGGGCGACAACAACTATAGAATTGATTGTGGATTAGCTGTCCGTGTGTTCTAAGCTCCAGGTCAGCCTTCTTCTCTCTGTTTCTGGACGGGGTGGAGGTGTGTGTGTGTGTGTACGTGTGTGTGTGTATGTGTGTGTGTGTGTGTGTGTGTGTGTGTGTGTGTCTGTAGAGAGAGAGAGAGAGAAACAGAGACAGAGAGACTGAGAGAGGCTTGTAGGGTCTCCTCTTGGGCTTGTAAATTTACAGCTAGGAGGTCATTTTATAGATAAAGAAACTTAGGCTCAGAGAAGTTATGTGACTTGCCCACTGTAGCACAGCTAACAAATGTTGGAGAATGGTTTTCCATTAGATGAACAAACCCCAGCCTGAAATAAATTCAAAGAGGAGGCCAGGAATACAGGGAAGTTTCAGCCTCAAGGAGGGAGGGGCCTGTACTCTTTTTGATTTCATGAAAAAACATTTTCCGCATGCTGTGAACCTTGTTTGCTCTGCTGTTTCCCTGGGGCATTAGTAGCACAGGGGAGGCATGGGACTGAGCCCCAGAGGTGAGAAGAGAGTACAGCTCTCTCCCCTGGTATCTGGGATTGTGTGCACAGGTGTTTCCAAACATGCTGAAGGCTGTGTTCAGCCAGGGAGTGTATTTAAGGAAGAGAGGGGCTGCAAGGAGGGAGAGTAGCCCCATGCGCTGTGCTGCTAGAGAAAGACAGGAGGAGCTTGAGAAGGCAGAGAGAGGAGGAAGCAGATGAGGCTTGGGATAGTCCTGGCTTTTTTGCTGTATGTGCTTTCCTGTGCCTTGCTGGTGCACCAGCCCCGGGTGTGTGTGTGTGTGTGTGTGTGTGTGTGTGTGTGTGTGTGTATGCACACACGTATATGTGACCTCAGGTTTGGGGTCTGGGCTGGTTTGCTAGAGAATACTCTTGCCATTAGGCTGTGGGGCCTAGAAGGACAGTCAGTGCCGCTTGAGGGTGACTGACTGCGCGTCTCCCTCACTTTCAGGGTCACGGGTGGGGAGCTGTTTGAGGACATTGTGGCCCGAGAATACTACAGTGAGGCTGATGCCAGGTAAGTGTGAGCGAGGCAGCATTGGCTCCTGCCTGACCTCAGGGGACTGGAGCCTCAGACGTCTTGTGGGAAGCTTGTCTCCTGCCCACGCTGGCCTCCGTTTCCTTCCTGGAGTTTTACCCTGTATCTGTATCTGCCCAGCCAAGCCTTCTCTCTGCATATCTTCTGTCAGTCGCTCTGCCTCGCCCAAATGAGAAGATAGCCTCTGACGTGCCCTTTGAGCCTTCCTGCAGGAATGGCCCCACCCAGAATGTGTCCCCTGTCTGATTCTGTCCAGAAGTGTTTGACCTGCCCATCTCCTCATGTTCTCCACAGTCACTGCATCCAGCAAATCCTAGAGGCTGTGCTTCACTGTCACCAGATGGGCGTGGTGCATCGAGACCTGAAGGTGAGATGAGGAAGAAGGTGGGTGATGTGGGGTGGGAGCCCAGACTTCAAGGACTGGGAGTTGCCAGCCACTCCCTGGAGTGGCGCATAAACGGGTCGTGAGGACACACGGATCTCCATACTGATGACTTACCCAGCCAAGCCTCAGATGTCTCACTTTACAGTGTCTGAGAGCTGGAAGGAGGGTCTCCCAGGTCGGGTAGTGTCTGCAGCTGTGGGTCAGGCTACAGAGGGCTGCACACGCTGGAGGTGTCTAGTGGGGAGGACGCTTCCCTGGGACTCTGCTGGCTGGCCCTGCTTGGGCTGCCTGGGGAGGAAGAACATTGCAGACAGTCATGACAGAGCCCGAGAGCAGCTAGTTCAAGCCCTCCCTGAGGAGCATCCCCTTCTGCAGCATCTCCGCCCAGAGCTCATGCAGCCTCTTCTTGAAGATCCTTAGCAGCAGGACAGCTCAACATTGTGCTCAGTTTTCTCTTCCATCTAGCTGAGATCTGTCTTCTCTATAACTTCCATTCCATTAATTCTAGTTCTGCCGTCTTGGGCCAGACAGAAGTCTGCAGTCGTGTGCCTTCTGGCTTGTTGGCCCTGCCGTCAGGAAAGGGAGAGGAGACGGATTCAGTGACTCATTATCATCGGAGCATAGATTTAGAGCCGGAAGGAGCCTTAGAATTCCTAGCCCAGCCCTCTTATCTGACAGGGGAAGAGACTAAAGACCCAGAGAGAATGACTGCTCTGTGTAAAGTCACACGCGGTGGCAAAGCTAAGGTTTAACCCGGGGCTGCTGAGCCCAAATCCGACGCGTTTTCTACTGTACACCTCCCTCTGACCAGTATTCTGGATCCTCAGTAACCTGGGGCCTGTAACATCAAATCACGGAAGCACAGACTCTTCAGGCTTGAAAGGGTCCTCAGAGGTCAGCTGGTACAGTCTTTCACTCTCTGCAGTGTTATCTTCTATTGTTGGTATTGGGCTACTTCAATCATATCTGACTCTCTGTGACCCCATGTGGGGTTTTCTTGGCAAAGATACTGAAGTGGGTTTGCCCTTTCTTTCTCCAACTCACTTTACAGATGAGGAAACTGAGGCAAACAGAGTTAAGTGATTTGCCCAGGTCACACAAGTAATAACTGTCTGAGGCCAGATTTGAACTCAGGTCCTCCTGACCCCAGGGCTGGCACTCTATCCACTGCACCACTTAGCTGCTCCATATCTTCTATAGCATACGTATTTGAGTACCTCCAATGACAGGGAGCTCACTATCTGATAAGGTAGTTTGTTTAATTCTTGCATAACTCTTGTTGTTAGAAAGCCCTTTTTTATATTGAATTTCATTCTGCCTACCTGAAACTTCTGCCCATTACTTCTGGTTCTCCCCACTGGGCTAAGTAAGCCAAGTCTGATCACATTGCAGACAGTCAGAGACTTAAAGACAGTGATTATGGCCTCTCCAATCTCTTCCTCCCCACCCCAATCCCCAACCATGCCCCATGTGTTCTCTTCTCCAGACTAAATATTGCTAGACCTTTTCATTGATCTTTTTAAGTCATGGATCCTAACTCTGACACATCTGTGTGACCTTGGGCTAGTCACTTAACCTCCATGGGCTTCAGTATTCCCAACTGTAAAATGAGAATGTTGGAACTAATCTTGGTGTCAGTGTGAGATGCTGGTCTACATGCTTTCCAGTTTTTCTGAAATGAGAGTGTTCGAGTAGATGGCCCCTGAGATCTCTTCCATCCTTAGAAATTTGGTTCTATGATCCTAGTTTAAAGATCTCTCCCATCCTGGTTGCCTAAAATGTGGCTCCCAGAACTGGATAAGAATGCTGGTGCTGGGATGTGTTGATCGTTGCCAGCCTAGGGCTTCCCTGATAGCCGCATTGTCTGGGTGTGTCCCTTAAAAAGCTGAGGTTAGGAGACTGAGCAAGTGAAAACTAAGAGCCCTCCCACTGATTCCATTCCCCTGGTGTTTTAAGCCTGTCGCTCAGGAGCAGGAATGAAAAAAAGGCAGCTCAAATTTAGGCCACTTCAGAGAGATAATTAGGGGCACATTCATCAAACCAGGGCACCTCTGGCACCAGGAGTGGGGACTCTTTGGGAACACTGTCCTGGGAGAATGAATGGGCCATTAGTGAGTTGAAGCAGACTGGGACTATATTTAGCTGAGGCCAGTCTATCTTTGGGCAGCTGGAAGGTCAGGCTTTGGTCCACTCAGAAGCCCAGAAGACAAAATCAGAAATCCACCACTAAGAAATTATAAATCAACTGCCTGGGCTTAAAAACTCATTCCAAAAGTAAAAGGGGAAAGTGTCTCAATGACAGCTCTGACTAACATTCAATTCTCAAGACATCTTATGTCACCTCTTGGGGGTCTAGGGCTTTTGGCTTACCCCTCCAGATTCCAGAGTCGTGGATGAGTGAAAGGAAGTACTTTTAGGCCAGGTGATGGTTGGTGGACCTGTGGTTGTATGCTAGGCCACAGAGAACTGCCAATGCCTAGTGGGGAGGGAGCCTCCCAGCATCTCACCTGGCCGGTATTTGGGGTTGATTGAAGGTCAGGAACAACGGAATCAGTAATGATAGAGATAGAGATGATAGGGGCAGCAATGATGGATACAGTCATGATGGATATAGTAATGATAGATGAAGGCAGAGATGATGAGGATAGTAATGGTAGAAGTAGAGATTATGGAGGCAGTAATGATGGGGACAGGAATGATAGAGACAGGAATGGTGGAGACCGGAATGAAAAGGTGTAGTGTAGTGGAAAGAGCCTCAGTGTCCTTATCTGGAAAATGGGAGTTAGAATACTCTACCTACTTTGCAAGCTTATTGTGAATAAAGTGCTTTGCAAACCTTTAAGTATTGTATAAATGAAGACTATTATTAGGAGAGAAATAGTAATGATGGAGGCAGTGATGGCAGAAGTCGTGATGATGGAAATTGTGATGTTTTGGGTTTTTTTTGTGGCTAGGCAATTGGGGTTAAGTGACTTGCCCAGGGTCACACAGCTAGTGTCAAGTGTCTGTCCTGAGACTGGCTTTGAACTCAGGTCCTCCTGACTCCAGGGCTGGTGCTCTATCCACTGCGCCACCTAGCTGCCCCAAAATTGTGATAATGGATGCAGGTAGGATGGAGTCAGTAGTGATGGAAGCCATGATGGTAGAAGAAGGGATGATGGAGGAAGTATTGATAGAAGTGGCAGTAATAACGTAGACTAGGGTGAGCAATAATAAAGACAGTTAAGATGGAGGCAGTACAATTATAACAGCTGATATTTATGTAGTACTTTACGGAGTTTACAAAGTCTTTACATGCATTCTCTGATCTGAACTTTACAACAGCTCTCTAAGGTAGGCTCTCTGGGCATTAGGGTCCTCATTTTACAAATGAAAAACAACAACGATACCAACGGAGACTTATAGAGGTTAATTGATTTGCCCGTGATCATAGAGCTGTTGCTGCTCAGTCACTTCAGTCTTATCTCTTTGTGGCCTCATTTGGAGTTTTCTTGGCAAAGGTACTAGAGCAGTATGCCACTTCCTTCTCCAGCTCATTTTACAGATGAGGAAATTGAGGCAAACAGGATGAAGTGACTTGCCCAGGGTCACACAGCTAGTTAAGTGTCTGAGGCCAGATTTGAATTCAGGAAAATGAATCTTTCTCACTCCAGGCCCAACACTCTATCCACTGTGCCACCTAGCTGCCCAGAAGTAGTGGTTATCAAAATCAGGATTTGAAGTTAAATCTTGATTCTAGATCCAGAACTCTCTTCTCGATGGAGTCACTAATGATCAAGGGAGTGATGACAGAGAAATGTCTCCTGAAGCCCAACTGACCTTATTTATACATTGTCAGAGCCCTGCATGACTCCCATGACCCCAGGAAGCTGCAGATGCAGGGGTCATGTGAATGAGCCATTCTGGAGGCAGTTACTCTCTGAACACCATGCTACTAGTCATAGCCAATAGTAACTGGGGCAGATTTCGCAAGGGTTGAATCCCAGGAGCCAAGAGCTCTGCCTTAGATTCCTCTCTGGACACTGATCCAGCCATTTTCCTTCTGACTCCAACAGATTTTTCTGGCTGAAAAGCAACATCCATTACCATCCTTGTTAGCCGCTGAATTGCTGTGTGACCTTCAACAAATTAATTTCACTTCCATAGACTTCCATAGACTGTAAAATAATTGGGTTGGATTGGACAGTGTCTCAAATCTCTTCCAGCCTTGCAGTTTTACTAGTCTGTGATGTTGGGGAACAGCCCCATGCCCATCACTGGGCAAATGAGAGGGGAGCCCTTGAGACTCATTGCATAGTACATTCTGTCTTAGGGAATGGAGAGAGGACATTTCAGAAGGCAAACTCCTGGGGGAGGCCAGGGTATTGAAGGGAACATGTTAGTTTATAAGTATGAGGGGAGAGGTTCACGCGGAGGAGAAGACTGTGGTTCAGGTACTGAGCTTCCTGGAAAAGGAGAGAGAATGGTCTGGGTGTTAGTGGGTAGCAGATACCATGGTCTGGATGGACTATCTAGAAGGATAGAGGGGACCTCAAGAGGTTGCTGAGGTGAGAGCAAGGAATAAGCCTATTTCACTTTCTTCTGTGCATCCAGAGGCTTAAGAGAAGGTACACCCAGTCGTGGAGAGGGCAGCCGGGGGATGAAGTATCTTCTGGTAAAGCCAGGTTACCATAAGAAGCAAGAAGGTGGAAGAAATCTAAGACAATGGGAAATTTGTTAGCAATAGAACTGAGGTTCCAGAGCGCATGGCGGAAGGCAGAGCAGTATGGGAATGCGGAAGGGTTAGGGCTGAGGAGGATGGAGATGAAGGATTGGGAAGTGGTAGCAGGGGAAGGGAGAATTTATTTAGGCAGTCTATAATTCTGAATCACAGGGATTTGGAAAGGAGGAGAAAATAATTTGCTAGCCATTGCATGGATTTTCTCACCCCTTCCCTGAAAACTGAATCTGCCCTGGGTGCTAGAATTCCTAGTGACAGCTCTGGGTCAGGACCAGATATGAACCCTTCTCTGTCTGTGCGATCTCATTGAGCAGCAACTTGAATTCAACAAACATTTTTTAAATGCCTCCTCAGAGCACTGTTTTGGGTCCTGGGAGAGACAGTTTAAATAAGAGTTTAAAAGTAGGTAGAGTAATAAATTAATAAGTAATGGTTATACCAGACACTGTGCTAAGTGCCGGGGGTACCCATGTAAAAAAATGAAACAATTCCAATTTTCAACAAATAAATAATATGCTGTCCCTACCCTCATGAAGTTCGTGAGGTTTTTTTTGGGGGGGATAAGTGTCTACATAGATAATACAAAATTATACATAATACGCACATTTTAGTCACTAAACAAGCTGCTATGTGAGGTCTGAGGGGAAAGGTCATTCACTGCTCAAAAGTGATGAGGAACAACTTCCTGGAGGAGGTGGCATCACAGTTCTGAGACTGAAGATTTGGAGGAGAAATCAACTGACTGTGTATGTATGTGCGTGGTGGTGGTGGTGTTGGTTATTCTAACCTTGCCTATCCAGATGCTCCTCCTAGAAGCCTCCAGCTTGAAATCAGGGCTTCCAGTGGCCCTGGTCTTAGTCTATCTTATTCCCTCTTGGTCCTTCCTTCCATCTGCCTTTCTCCTCAAAGATTACTCTTACCTACTCATTATGTGTACTTCCTATGTTGTCTCACCTTAGACCGTAAGCTCGTTGAGGGTAGGGACAATTTTTGCTTTTCTTTGTATCCCTGGCACTTAGCACTGTGTCTGGCACACATCGAACGCTTAATAAATGCTTGTTCCCGGACTGACTGCCTCTCCCTTCACCCTCTCTCCCGTGAAGCCGGAGAACCTGCTCCTGGCGTCAAAGCTGAAGGGGGCCGCAGTGAAGTTGGCTGACTTTGGCCTGGCCATCGAGGTGGAAGGGGAGCAGCAGGCGTGGTTTGGTGAGTGGCTGCTGGAGGAAGGATGGAGTTTGGCGTGTCTGTAAAGCGGAATGGTGTGGTTTAGAAGGGCCTCCTCATCTCTCCCTCCCCACCTCTGCCTGCCCTGAAAATGGGAGATGGAAAGAAGGCAAAAAATTTGAAGGCTCCCACGACCTGGCCAGGGCCCAGGAAGCAAACGCAGCACCCCAACCGACTCAGCTATCTCAACTGTTACCCTCTCCTCTGGTCAGTGCTGCTCAGAATAGCTTCCTGAGGTCTTTGCGATAACTTAGTCATACTTTGTCCCATTGGTATAACACTTTGTTCTTTTCAAAGTGCTTTCATGTCTAATCTCACGTGATCCTCCCCATGACCCTCTGAGGGAGGTCATGCAAGTTAGATAATTCCTATTTTGTAGAGGAGAAAACTGAGGCTTATGGAGGGGAAAAGACTTGAACAAGGCCACACAGTGAGTTAGTGATAAGGCTAGAACACTCATTTTCTGAATTGAAATCCAGTACTCTATTGGCCACAACCTAGAGCGTAGCAGACCTGGAGTAGGGCGGATACTTAGGCTTGAGCCTCAAAGTTCCATTTAGCCAAGATCAAGGACAGATTCTGTTCCTAAGTAACAGAATGGCCGGGGCAGAGAATCTCCTTTCCTGGTAGATTTCCCTTCTGTATTGGTTCTTTTCCAGTACTCCTTCTACCATGACAGTACTCACCACACCCAAAGCAGAGATGGGAAAAAGAAATTCAGAATGGAAATGATTTAGTTCCCTATACTTTCGGTTCTCTTTCCCTAGCTCATTCTATCATGCATGATGAGGCTGAGGTTTCCCAACTACAATTTTTGGAGCCTGTGCTATCCAAATCAAACTCTGGGAATACTTCTGGAGGGGTAGGGTGTGTGTGGGGAAACTTCTTCAGTAGAGAATGTCCCTCGGATCAAAGATTTGGGACTTTTATAAGTAAATAGGGAGTCATTGAAAGTTTTTGAGCAGGGGCAGTGAAAGGGTCAGAGCTGTAGGTTAGGTACATACAGGATGGATTGGCAAAAGAGTCTGAAGGTAGAGAGAACAGTTAAGAGGTTGTTGTAATAGTCCAAGTATTAAATAACAGGGAGATAAATGAGGATGATAGCCATGGGAATGGAGAAGAGAAGTCATTGTTAGTCCACCCCTCATAATCTTAGTAGGAACCTTTTCTAGGCTATTAAGATTCAATAATCCAACTGTTTTTGTTTGTTTGTTTTTGTCTGCGGGGAGCAGGATTTGCAGGGACGCCGGGGTACCTCTCCCCAGAAGTTCTCCGAAAGGACCCATATGGGAAGCCTGTGGATCTTTGGGCATGTGGTAAGTTCAACTGCAGTAAAAGTAGAAGAAGTCATGGCACGAGAGCTCTCTGGTCCTACGCTAGACCAGGTGAGTGGGTACTCTACTCTGGCTTACGACAGCAGAGATATCCAGGTAACCCAGAGGGTTCCAGGTACTGCAGAATCACCCACATAACCCGGAGTGTACCAGAGGATCTTTCCCATGTTGTCTGGTATGCATTCATGAGCTCCATGTCCCCCTGCACATAATATATCAGCTTTAACCTTCTCCCTGTGGGCCAGGAAGCAACATTACCAAACCCGTGGGATGACTATAGTTGTCCAGGTCACAGGGACCCAGGGGCTTCCATACAGGGACCTCGTCATCTGCTGATGGTAGGTGGTGACAGAAACTTCTTTTCCTGAAAAGCCCTGTTAGCTGTCCATGTGTCTATGACAAGGAGGCATGTCCAAGTCTGCTGATGGGAGCAGACAAAGTGGAGACTCTTCATTCCCTTCCTTGCCCTTTTCATGGCTTGCTGTACCGATCAGATGAAGGCCCCTTCTCTATCATTACTTTTCCAACAACCTCCATCAGTACTGCTACCATCTTTATTCATTCAGTAAACATTTCTTGAGCATTTTGTTGTTATTATTATTGCTCAGTCATTTCTACTTGTGTCTGACTCTTGGTGATCCCTTGGGTTTTTTTTTTTGGCAAAGATAAGGGAGCTGTTGGCCATTTCCTTCTCCATCTTGAGCACTTACTGTGTGTTAAAGCCTGGGGGAGTTACGAGGATAAATGAGCGTGGTCCCTATACTCTGGAGCTTGCTCTAATCAAAGAAATGAGCACACACAAACAGCTGCAATCCAAGGCAGGATATGATAACTGACAAAATGAGTGATATGGATCATCAGTGCTAGAGGAATTCAGACAAGGAGGAAGGAGAGACCCCCTTGGGGTGATCTGGCAAGCATTATGGAGGAAGTGGGCTCTGAGCTGGGCCTTGAATTTTGTTAGTTGGAGGTGGAGGGAGTGGGGAAGGCATTGCAAGCAGAAGGAATGATGTGAGCAACTATGTCGTGGCAGGAGAGTACAAGGCACATTTGGGGAATGGTGAGGTCACTGGTTTGACTGGATGTCTCTGCTGTCATAAGCCAGAGTAGAGTACCCACTCACCTGGTCTAGCGTAGGACCAGAGAGAGTACAGGGCACATTTGGGGAATGGTGAGGTCACTGGTTTGACTAGATATAGAGTATAACAGGAAAAATGGTGGGAGTTAAAGCTGGAAGGAAAGGTTAGGGTCAGGTGGCAGAGGGCTTGAAATGCTATCTTAAGGAGCTTGGATTTGATTCTGTAAGCAATAGGGAGCCATTTAAGATTTTTGAGCAAAGGAGTGACAGGATCAAGAGATTTAGAGCTGAAAAGAAACTTGGAATCATTTTATCTGTCTATCTATCTATCTATCTATCTATCTATCTATCTATCTATCTATCTATCTCATTTTACAGATGAGGGAACTGAGGCCCAGATTTTCAGGGACATCATAACTTTAGGAAGATTATTTTGTTATATTATATCATATTATATTATATATTTGTTATGTATATTTATTACATATTAGATGGACTGGCTGAAAAAAGATTGGAGGCAGGTAGACTGATAAAAAGGCCATAGGGATGGTCCAAGTATGAAGTAATCAGGTCCTAAACTAGGCTGGTAGCATTGGGAATGAAAGAAAGGGATAAATAGGAGAGAGATTATGAAGGAAGAGTCGACAGGTCTTGGTGACTGATTTGGTTTGCTAGGGCAGGGAGGAATTGTCACAGATGACTCAGGTTTTGAGCCTAAGTGCTTGGGAGAATGGAAGTGTCATTGACAGAAATAGGAAACAGAGAAGGAGGAATGGATTATAGAAGGAAGGTAATGAATCCAACTTTAAAGATAACTAACTTGAGATTCCAGTGATATCCAGGTGCGGATGTCTAGCAGGTGCTTGGAAATTTGCGTCTTGAGCCTGACAGAAAATTCTAGGCTGGAAGATCTAGTTTGGGGAATCATTTTCATGGAGATCACAGATAAGATGTGTAATCGGAGGTACTTAGTTGTCATCTGGTCTGTCTCTTCATTTTACAGAGGAGTAAACTGAGGCTCATAGAAAGAAGGGGATTGACTCAATGCCACAGAGGTGGTAGATCCCCAGGTCCTCTGACCTCATTTTCAGGACTCTTCCTGTTTCACTTGTTCTGGCTGATAATGAGGTTGTGGCAATGGAAGATATTGTTCATCGTTCCCTCTCAAAGAGGATCAATGACATCGGGAGTTACTTGTGTGTGAATTGGATTTCAGTGAGACAAAGTTGAACAAAGTCATTAGCCTCACTCTCTCCTCCAGAGTCATTGAAGTCCAGTGACAAGACAAGTCTTGTTGATTGGTCATGGCCCAAGATGCAGGGGGTGACCTTGGCCTTTCAAAATTAAGATCTTTTCCAGTTCTCAGTTTGTTTGAGGCAACACCCATTCATAGAATAAGGTCTAGAGTAGAGACAAAAAATGCCCTACTTTACCATCACAAAAGTATCAATCTGGAAGGGGAAGACTCTCAAAGTGTCTGGACTGAAAAGAAAATAATAATTATTTGCACTCACTCTAAACCATCAAAATCCAAACAATTGCAATAGAGGCTTGGGCTGGGCCCTATTATTTACTGGCCATTCAGTGAAAGCCAGAGTAATTTGGGTTTAAAGGCATAGTAAAGTAGCTCCGTATGGATTGCAATGAACTTTTTAAAAGACTGTTTTTTCAGAGCTATATTTGAAGAAGCGATCACCAAAGGAGAGAATGTAAGGACGGAATAGCAGTTGACCAGAGCTAAAGCCTTAGTGGATAGCTGTAGTTAGGGAGCAAGAAGAGAAAGAGGAATGAGAGGAGATAGAGAAAATCTGGTTAGAGAGGACTATGAGAAGGCAGCATACCAAGAGAGGAGAGCCTACCCAGGAGGTGTACCAGCTGCTGTTGAGAGGTAAAGAAGGATGAAGATTGAGATGAGGCCACTGAATTTCGCGATCAGGTTATCATCTGTCTCTAGCTATACTTCTGCCTCCATAGTTATTGCTTCCATCAATACTACCCTCATCATTTCCTACTCTTCCTGACATCAGCATCTCACAGTCTTATTCCTTTTCCCTAGGTGTCATCCTGTACATCTTGTTGGTGGGATATCCTCCTTTCTGGGATGAGGACCAGCACCGACTATACCAGCAGATCAAAGCTGGAGCCTATGATGTGAGTATTGCTTAATCCTGCTGCTTCTTCTTGGCTCTCTTAGCACATTGGGCCTACTGTGGTCCTTCTGGCCTGATTCTGCTATTTCTAAACCAGAGATGGTCCCCCGGTGGGATTTATGGACAGGAGGACCCCTGTTCTCAACTCAGCCTTTGCATAGAGATTCTCAAGTCTTGGTTCTTTTTTTTTCTTTTCTTTTCTTTTCTTTTCTTTTCTTTTCTTTTCTTTTCTTTTCTTTTCTTTTCTTTTCTTTTCTTTTCTTTTCTTTTCTTTTCTTTTCTTTTCGGCAATTGGGGTTAAGTGACTTGCCCAGGGTCACACAGCTAGTATGTGTCAAGTATTTGGTCTGAGGCTGGATTTGAACTCAGGTCCTCCTGACTTCAGGGCCGGTGCTCTATCCACTGCACCACCTGGCTGCTCCTCAAGACCTGGTTCTTAAAGGCTGGTATGGCTCTAGGCACATAATATGCATTGTGGACACGTCAAATTTTAGAAATTAGAATAGTAAAATAACAAAGTAATGGGCTTAAGATAATGCTAAAAAGATAAAGAAGGCCCGTGACAAACCCAGGTCCAGGTGTTACCTTACCATCAACCATTCTGTACTTTGATAAGGAAAGTGATGGAAGGGTTGGAGCAAGAATTTAGCATTCCTTTGTAAAGAATCTGTGCACTATCTGCCTGTCTGAAGCTTCTTTCTAATGGCCCATGATTCAGATCTGTGTGGGGATAAAAGGGAAGAAAGGGGACATGGCCCTCTCTCTACTACTATCCATTTCTGCCTGCTCTTTGGTGTGCCCGGTTTTCCTCTACCTTCTGTTGGTCTTGATATGGGTGCTTACTTCTTCCCCTTAGCACACCCAAGACAGAATTTGTGTTTTTTTTTTTTCTGATTTTTTCAAGAGGAATTTATTAGCAATGAAGAAAAAGAATCATGCAAAAAAAAGTTCATAGAGCATAGAAGTGTTGAGTTAGAGAGCTCAGGAATCTCATTCTAAAATATGCCTAATCCAGCCTCTTGGGTGGTACAGCTGCCAGGGCTGTCTGGTCTCTCCCCTTTTCATCTACTTAAGCATCTGGGCCTGGCCCCATCCCATGACCATATGCCACGCTCCCTCAGAGACGGACCAAAGATGAGTGTCTCCCCCAGCACCTACCCCCAACTCAGCCTTCTTTTCCATGTCAAAGTGGGCGCTCCCTTCTCTAGCCCTGTCCCCTTTCCATCCCAATTCATTTGCATTGCTGAGATAACAGACTCATCCTAGGACTCATAAACAATGGATATCTTTTCCTGGCTTTACTGCTGGCTTTACTGACCAAGGTATGTTCAGGTGGATGAGTTTTTTCTCCTCCTCACTTTCTTTGGAACTTTCCTCCCTTCTTTCCCCTAGTCTCAGAAGTATCTTTCTCTAAAGCCCAATGGAACACATTTTTATAAATTCCCAGCATCTTAATGGCACAAGGAGAAGCAAGAACGCATCATCTTTACTAATGGGAAGGGAAAAATAATTTCATTATATCATGCACGGCTCTCAAGCACAGGAAGTGAATTTGAAGTCCTATCCTGGTCAGAGTCGATTCCCCTACAGTTTAGTAGTGGTGAAGAATCTGGAAATTAAGTCATAGAAGGAAGGATAGAAAGAGTTGGGAATGTTTGGGAGAAGAGAAGACTTAATGAGGACGTGGTCATTGCCTTTAAGGGCAATCTTTTACAGAGAAGGGATGGGGCTGATTCTTTGTGAATCTCCAAGTAGGGTTCCCATCCCTTTGCCCCACAGCTGCTTGTGTCTTCTCTGACCCCTCTCCCCCCACAAATTACATTTTTATTTTGTATATTTCATTATATCATGTGTTTTTTTTGTTTTAACATAGTGGATAGAGAACTGGTCTTGAAGCCAGGAAGATCTCAGTTCAAGTCCCACCTCTGACACATACTGGCTTGGAAACCCTGGACAAGTTATTTAACCTCTTAGTGCTTTCTAGGAACTCTCTAAGAGTATAAGTTTCACAGGAAGTGCAAGCTTGCATTGTTAGAGGAAGTTCATTCATATAGGAATTTCCTATACCAAGCACATAACAGGCCTGATCCCTATCCCTATATTTTGTACACACATACATAAGTCTATGTTGTCTCTCCATTATAATTTTAAGCTCCTTAAGAATAGGGATTGCTTCTTTTTTGTATCCTCACATTGATCAAGAAACATTTTAAAGTCTCCTATGTGCCAGGCATTGTGTCAGGCAATGGAGATACTAAGATAAAAAATGATAAAAACCCTACCCTCTAGAAGCTTACATTCTATGGAGGAGGGAATACGTATACATGTAAAAGTATACATGCAGAATAAATATAAGGAGAAATACAAATTAGTATAAGGTAGCTACATATAATGTGGTTAGGAGGGAGGGCATTGGCAGTTTGGGGGATCAGGAAAGGCTTCATGTAGAAGTTGTTTTTTGAGCTCTGTCTCAAAGGTAGAGATTCTGAGACAGAGAGGAGGAATGGTCAACAGGGGATGGTCAGTGCAAAGGTGCAGAGATGGGAGGTAGAGTTTCATGCATGAAGAGCAGAGAGAAGCCTAGTTCTTTTAGACCATAGGGTGTGGGGAGGTGATTAATGTCCAGTGAAACTGGAAAGATAGGGTGAGGTTAAGTTGTGAAGCCAAACAGAGGATTTTATCTTAAAGAGAATTGGGAGCCACTAGAGTTTACCAAGTAGGGTAGTGACATCGTTAGATCTATGCTTACCTATGCTTAAGGAGAATCACTTTGGCATCTGTGTGGAATTTGAGCAGGGAGAGAGAAATTGAGGCAAGGAGACCGATTAGGAGGACAATGAAGTTATCTGCACGAGAAGTGATGAGAACTTAAGCGAAGGTGCTGACCTTATGATAGAGAGAAAAGATAGGATGGGAGCCATGTAGAGTTAGAAATGGTAAGATTTGTCAACTTATTGGATATATGAGGAAGGGGGGTGTGTGAAGAGTCAGGGGTAGGGCTGAAGTTAGCCAAGGAAGCCAAGAAACTGGAATAATGATGGTGCCCTTGGCAGAAATAAGTGAGATTGGCAGAAGGGTGGGTTTGGGAGGGGGAAGAAGGTAATGTTTTGCTATGTTGAGTTTGAGGTGTCTCTGGGACATCCAGTGTCAAATATCCAGTAGGCAGTTGGTGATGTGAGGCTGAAGCAAAGGAGAGTCTGGGGCTAGAGATGACCTGCGAGTCATCTGCACAGAGATAATTAAACCCTGGGAGCTGATGAGATCACCTAGAAAGAGTGGGGACATTGATTGTTTGATATATCAACCCTCCTGGCTGCATGTAGATTCTGTTGTACAGATCCGATGTGGAGGGGACTTTAATTTCCTTCCTATAAACACACACACACACACACACACACACACACACACACACACACACACACACACACGTCATCAACCTAGGCCAAGATTTAGCAACGACATTCCTGATTATGGGAACTTAGAGATCATTTAACCATAGTATCATAGAAGTTAGAAATTAAGGGAGTATTAGAGGTGAGCTGGAGATTATCCAGAGGGCATTCTACAAATTCCCCTTTTCTCTAAGCTCCCCTACCCCAATTCAATAAACTCCAAAGACAGACCTCCAGGCTGGTGAAAGGGTTTAGTTCATGTCACTTGAAGATTATTTGATGGAACTGGGGACTTTTAGTCTGGAAAAGAGAAGACATGGGGACCAATTGGGAGTGATGCACCATGGTGTTATTTAGTTGATTAGTTGTGTCTGACTTTTCACGACCCCATTTGGGGTTTTCTTGTAAAACATATTAGAGTGGTTTGACATTTCCTTCTCCAGCTCATTTTACAGATTAGGAAACAGGGCCAAGTGACTAGCCCAGGGTCACATAGCTAATAAGTGCCTGAGGGTGGATTTGAACTCAGGTCCTCCTGACTCTAGGGCCAACACTCTATCTGCTATATCACCTAGCTGTCCCTTTGGGCATGATAATTGCCTTCAAATATCTGATGGATTGTTGTATAGAAGAGGGATTTCATGCTGCCTCCAGAGGGTAGAACTTAGAGTAATGGGATGGAAGCTGTAAAGAGGTAACATTAGATTTGATGTAAGGAAAAGCTTTATAATAATTAGAGCTCTTCCAAAGTGAAACAGGATGCCCTGGGAAGTCATCAGCTCAAAGGCTGGTCAATCACTCATTAGGTGATTATAGAGGAACTCCTTTTCTCAGGAGTGGGTCAGACTAGAGATCCCTTGATTTCAGGATACATCTCTGTCCTCCCACCAGTAATCTTCAACATGTGAAAATTCTGCATATTCAGGGCTTCAGATAAAAAGGAATTTTGATGTTGTTATTGTTATTATATGTAATTAAATTTTTTTTTGGCATAGTGTAGGAGTCCTGGGCTTGGTGACAAAAACCTTGAATTTGGTGCATCTTGGACATTTACTTACACGTGAGCTCTGGCCAGGCAATGACTTTCTGTGAGTCTCAGTTTCCTCCTGTAAAATGGAGATAACCACACTTATATTACTTCAGAGGTATTCCCATCAGTCCAATCCAGTAAGAATTTATTCAGTGCCTACTATGTGCCATGCACTGGAGAGAAAAAGACAAAAGTGAAACCATCTCTGTCCTCAGGAAGCTTACATTCTACTGGAAAAGCACTTTGGAAACTATAAAGCGAAATGTGAGCTCTTGTCATTATGATTTTTGTATCTTTCTCTACTGAGTGGCAGGGTGGTGTAATGGATAGAGACCCAACTTCAGAGTCAGGAAAACCTGGGTTCAAGTTCCATCTCTGACACATATTGGTTGTGTGACTGTGGGCAAGTCACTCAACCTGACTATGTCATCACACCTCCCCCCTTCCCACTTCAACAAACTCCATGGCTCCCTATCCCCTCCAGGATCAAATATAGAATTCTATTTGATGTTCCAAGCCCTTCACAATCTTGCCACCTCCTCCTGTTCCAGTCTGCTTATGCCTTACTTCTCTCCATGTATTCTCTGTTGAGTTGAAGGTGGCCTCTTTGCTGTTCCTCAAACATGACACTACATCTCCTAACTCTGGGCATTTTTGGTGGCTGTCCCTATGCCCAGAATTCTCTCCTTCCTCCCTCCTCCCTCCTCCCTCCTCCTTCTTCCAGGCTTAACCCTGGATTCCTTCGAGTTTCAGTTAAAATCCCACTTTCTACATAAGCCTTTCCTGATCTCCTTCTATACCAGTGCCTGCCCTCTGCTGACGACCTTCCTGTATCTATCTTGTTTGTAGATGGTTTGTTTGCATGTTGTCTCTCCCATTACACTGTGATCTCCTTGAAAACAGAGACTGGTCCTCTTCACTTAGCATTGTGGCTGGCACAGACGTAGGCTCTTATTAAATGCTTATTGACTTGACTTGTTGACTTTCCATTCTGAAATTCTGTGATTCTATGAGATCATCTAGAATAACCTCATTTTAAAGATTAGAAAACTGAGGCACAGGAAGGATAAATAGCTTGCCTACGGTGGCAAAGCCAAGTTAGTGTAAGAGCCAGGACTAAAACCCAGATTGTAGATTCACTAAATTTTGGCATTCTAAGGAGCCATTTGGGGCAGCTAGGTGGCACAGTGGATAGAGCGCTAGGCCTGGAGTCAGGAAAACCAGCCTCAGACACTTTCTAGCCATGTGATGCTGGGCAAGTCTCTTAACCCTGTTCACCTCAGCTTCTTCATCTGTAAAATGAGCTAGAGAAGGAAATGGCAAACCCCTCCAGTATCTTTGCCAAGAAAAACCCAAATGGGGTCTTGAAGAATTGGTCAGGACTGAAAAATGACTGAACAGCAACCAGGGGCCATAGGGGTCAAGTTGGGCAACCTCTTACCTCTTGCAGGAAGCCTTGAATGATAAGCCTTGTACTTAGTATCTATCTTTTTATTGAATAGCTCCAGGGATGGAGAATTCTTTCCACAGAAGGCTGCACATTCCATTATTAGGCAGATAGATTTCTTAGAAAAGTTATTCCTTGTGTGCTGAGATGACAGGAGTCACACAGAATAAATTGAATCTTTCCTCCTCACGATAGCCCTTCAAGCATATGAAGACAGCCATCATGTCCCCCCAAGTCTTCTCTTCTCCATGCTAAATAGCCCTTGTTCCTTCACTTGTATGATACGGTTCTCATATCTTTCTCGTCTGGACACGCTCTCTTTTGTCAGTGTGCGATGCTTCATGGTGCTCAGGATGTGGTCTAACCAGGACAGAGTACAGTGGGACCATCACTTTCCCTGATTTAGACTCTAGTGTTTTCTTCCCTTCCTCATAGCAGGCAACTGTTGCAAATTTATTGAATTGAATAGAATGAAATACGATTCCCGTAGCCCAAGATCCCATTAGTTGTTTTGGCAGTCATCACATATTATTGACTCATATTGAATTTGTGGTCCACAAAAACCTCTAGGTCTTTTTCATGCACATGTCGCTTTCATCTTGTACTTTTTATTTTATAGACTCAGATGCAGAATTTTATATTTGCTTCTATTCAGTTTCATAGTGTTTGACTCAGCTCATTGTTCTAGACTTTTTTGGATGATTTTTAATGTGAGTGGTTATTGTTATTATTGTTATAATATCCTGATTCTATCATCTGTGCATCTTTCCGCATTATAGACAATGATGTTGAAGACACCCCCAGGTCTTTCCATTAATCTGTCACATTCTTTCTGGATTTCCTCAGTTCTGATTACCTTCAGTTAGACAGATGCCAGGCTGTAAATGACAGTTCTTAAAGTGTGGCTCCCAGAGGTCAGGGTGCCACTTACAGAGGAAATGCCCACTGTTCTCTCCCATTGCACTGGGTGCTCTCCCAGAGACAGTTGGAACTTTGATGTTACTCAGACAGGTTGAGGTCTCCAAGTGGCCGCTGCTTGTATCTCTGGTAGACCTAGACCCCAACAAGAAGGGTCTCTGGGCCATGGCTCTCCTATGCCTGCTCCCCTGCCAGGCAGGAGTTGTTCTGATTGCAGGGGATGGCCTGTGGCAGGCTAGCCAAACCTGGCCCATTTGCCCCTTTCAGTTTCCATCCCCGGAATGGGACACGGTTACCCCAGAAGCAAAGGACCTGATTAATAAGATGCTCACCATCAACCCCTCCAAGCGCATCACAGCTGCTGAAGCCCTCAAGCACCCCTGGATCTCTGTGAGTAATACCTGGAGTGGGGTTTGGGCACTTGGGGTTGGGGTGTGGTTTGAGGACTTCAGATCACATGGCCAAGGGTGGTTTGCTTCTCAAGGGACCAAAGAACATTCAGCATGTTCACTGCACATAAGTCTGAGTGTTTAGGAAGCTCTGTAACTTTCCTTGGCAAGCAAGGCCCCTGCTCCAGAAAAGACTTGTTAGGAGGAGTGAATTGGAAATATTAGCCAATGACAATAGTTAACATTCATATAGCATTTACTATGTACTGGACTTTGGCAGAGTGCTTTACAATTATTATCTCATTTGATCCTCTTAATCCCGGGAGGTAGGTGCTATTATTATCCCTATTTGACAGTTGAGGAAACTGAGGCAAACAGAGGTTAAGTGATTTGCCTAGGGTCCCACAGCTAGTAAGTGTCTGAGGCAGGATTTCAACTCAGGTCTTTTTGACTCCAGGCCCAGTGCGCTATCCATGTGGTACCGGAAAGAGCAGTGGGTTTGATGTTTGGAGACCTGAGTTCAACTTCTGGGTCCAGCATTTTCTGGCTGTGTGACTGTCGGCAGATTACTTAATCTTTTTGAAGCCTAGTTTCCTTATCTATAAATAGGCATAATAATACGTACATTGCTTGAATGATAGGGTTGCTGTGAGGAAAATGCTTTGTAAACCATAAAACATTATAGAAATATGAGCCAATGTAAAAAAAATGTGAGAAGCCCCTCCTTCCCACTCCCCATGGAGCTATATCTTTTCTAGTGCTTCCTTCCCACGAAGACTCCTTTTAAATTAACTCTTATAATTTAGTGAGCTCCCATCGATAGGGATTTACTACTGGTTGGACTTTGATAGGCTTTGCCCTTGCAACACCACATTTTTGCTCCTATTTGTCTGTTTTAAAAGGGGAAGCATCCTCTACCCCCCCCCCCAAGTTTGGAAACTGAAACTGTCCCTTAGATATAAGTTCCACACAGCCCCCTCCTTCCTGCTCATGTCCTTTTCCCTTTCTTCTTTCGCCAGCACCGATCTACAGTGGCCTCCTGCATGCACAGACAGGAGACCGTGGACTGCTTGAAGAAATTCAATGCAAGGAGGAAACTGAAGGTAACCCCTTGGTCTGGTTCCCTCTCTGAGACTGCTGGACTCTGGATTGGTCCACATTTCTGCCAGGGGCAATAGTGGATAAGACTGGGTGGGAGCCCCCTGGGGAACTGGGAGATTCTCAGGCCTTGCCTAGGCCACAAGAAACAGTGGACCACACTCAAGAAAGTTAAAGAGGAAACGTGGTATCAGGTAGTGAGTGCCTGGTTAGCTGTAGCTGTTCACTGTGAGGAAACCCATCTCTCCCCACCACTACCTCACCAACAGGAATCAGGGCAGACATATAGGAGCCACCCTGGGAAAGTCGAAATGGCTTTAGACTTGGAGTCTTGGAGTAGTGGGACTTAGAGTCTGGAAGACAAAGGTTCAAATCCTGCACTGACTAGCTCTGTGACAGAGTAATTCTTTTAACCTCTCTGGGCCTCAGCTTTCCCATCTAGAAAATGAAGGAGTTTGACTGGATGAACTCTAAAGTCTCTCTTAACTTTAAATCTGGGATGCTGTAATTATGTGACCATGGGCAAGTCACTCACCTCATCTGGGGAAAATGATGCTATACCAGGATTGCGATGAGGAAAGTGCTTTGTAAACCTTAAAAAGGTGATGCACTTGTGAGTTATTAAATTATAAAATGTTATAGAAATGGGCTGTCATTTTATAGTATCATCATTATTGAGAGGCAACATATTCAGAAAGACCTGAGTTCGAGTACTGACTTTGACATATACAGGTTAATCTTCCAGTGTCCCAGGAAAGTCTCTGACTATACGGTGCAAAACAGGTGCTGATTTAAATCTGTGAAGAGACTTTCTTCACTTGGAATTCTCTGGACCAAAAAACTATTCTTGATATTCATATAGTACAGAACAGCTCCTGAATATCCTGTGCCCCTTAGTGTTACATGGGCTGTGCAGGAACAGGAGTTAAGGGTGCTTCCTATCCAGCTAAATGGGCCTATGAGCCCCCAGGATTACATGGGGCTGAGGCATGATTTATTTTAGATGTGCTGAGCTCACTGTTAATCTCCTTCCCTGACAGTGTGCATTGTTCCCCAAAGCCTCCCATCCTCCCATAATGGGAGGGGGGGCCTGGGGCAGAAGGGAAGAATATATTTATTAAGGGATGTTGGCACCAAAGGGCTGGTGAAATCCCAGGAGGAGATCTGGACCAAGGTGATTCCCACCTGACTTCAGGATTTTTGAGCTCCAAAGGGAGCTTAGAAATTGAAGCAGAAGCCAGAAACTTTTATCATATAAAATGATATCAGAAGTGGAGGGGGCCGTAGAAATCATTTATTCCTTCCTTCTGTTTTACAGACGTGGAATTTGAGGAGATGGAGAACATTTCTGAAGGCCTCGAATTCCTTAGGGGGATAGTGGGCTGGCTTGAGAGTACTGAATGCTCTAAAGGGGCAGAGATAACTCAAGTTCAAGGCAGGGGTAGAAAGAGGAAGGAGGGTCCAGAAAGTGACCACCTATCTGACTCAGGCAGGAGATTTACATGGCCTTTTGGAGACCTAGTTGGCCGACCTCCTGGAGTCTAGCCAGCAACCCTGGCTCAGGCTGGAGCTGCCTATTAATACTCTTGTCCAACGCAATCTTGTCCCTGGAGTTGTGCCCATCTAACACCCTTCCCAGCCAATCACTTTTTCTTTGGGAATGCTGAGGACAGATGGACAAAGGGATGGGGGAGAATGGGAGGCCTGGTCTCTGAACACAACAACCTCTCCCTCTGCCCACTCTTCACATTTTCTTATCCCTCCCTCCTTCCCCTTTTCTTCCCTGGTCTCTCTTCCCACCCTCACCCCTCTTGCCGTTCTATTTTTGTCTGTTTCAGGGAGCTATCCTTACCACCATGCTGGCCACCAGGAACTTCTCTGGTAGGTGGTGGGACCCTTTGGTCCTCAGGATCTGACATATCCAACTCAGCATTGGGATTGCAGGGTTCCATATCCATGGTGCTCTAAGAATGCGGGAGAGTTCAGGGGTGGAAAACATTCCTGCTCCCCCTGCCCAGGGAGTACAGGGAATTTATTCTCTGGTCCCCACCCACTGCCATCACTGCCTACCCAGCATACACATACACGGAAGCAGCCAGTCCTTTGCCAAGACTTGGGGTGACAGCTGAGGGGTGGGTGGAGGGGGAAGAGGAACATGAGGTGCTGACCAAGTGCTGAAAAATCCCAATGGACTTGACAGATATGTCTCTAAACAAGCTGCCCCATTGGCTGCAGCAACAGATTCACATTTGGGGATGGATGACCTGGGCTTAGATTCTAACTCTGATACTTAATTAGTGGTATGATCTTGGGCAAGCCATTTAAACCTCTGAGAGCCTTACTTTCCTCATCTGTAAAAAGGGGATAATAATATGAGGTTGTCATCAGGAAAGTACTGAGTCTAAAGGACTCTAGGAATGTAAAATATTCTTTTGATCATTTCTCTCTGTGCCATTTGTGAGAATGGTGCCTGGGCTGGGGGTAGAGGTAGCAGCAGCCCTGGTATTAGAGGCAACCTCACAGAGGGAGGCTGGCAAAGCTTCGATTAGCGCTTTCCCCAGTTCCAGTAGAGGATGGCCAGGAGGGTAGAAGTGGGTGGTGAGAGATGCCTGCAGATGCAGCAGGGGCTTCCTGTGAGGGGTGTGTGAGAAGCACCCAAACGTTGCATAGCAGTATCTGAGGTTTCCAGCTGGCATTGAGGGGGAAAGGATGGGAACTTGAATTTACCAAGTGACCCTTTTCTGAGAGCACATGAGTGAGTGACAGTGCTGCCAGATACTAGGGGTTTGGGAGGACTGACAGGGCAGCTGAATGGAGGTGGCAAAAGTTCACATCAAAGCAGTAGAAGGGGTCTGCGTCACAGTATGAGCTCGGCGCCCTTTCTTGGTCCCACCCATCCCCAGGCAAGGGGAGTGAAGGTTCATCCCATTTCCCTACTCCCAGAAAGCATAGGATCTTATCCACCATGGGCAGCAACTGGAGGCCCACTTGGAAGGAGAACCATTCTCCGACCAACAGACCCAGCCAAACACTGTCTTGCCTTTGCATAGCATAGATACGGCATGCTGCCAATCAGAGACGGGCCTAACGCTCATCTCCAGCAAGCGAGGCTGTGTTGCACAGGGGAAAGAGTCCTGGATTCAGAGTCAGAGGATGTTGGTTCACATCCTTGCTCCTCCACTCATACTCAGGTGTCCTTGGCCAATCCAGCTAACCTCTTTGGCCTTGACTTTTCTCATCTTTAAGATGAAGGCATTGGGACAAGATGACCTCTAAGGTCCCTCCCAGCTCTAACTCTCTGACTGCGAATCTATGATCTTTTCCAGCACTAAATATACAATTCTATTATCTGTTCCCATACTGTTTGCTTAGCCTGGAAGCCAAACATGTATCACCTTCCAGAGTTTCCCTTACATTCTCTGTCTTCTGCAGGCTGGTTCCTAGAGAACTCCTCGTAAGCTCCTTAAACATGCATGAAGAAATGAACATCCCAGCCTAGAGATCCTAAGCAGGGCTTTAAGGGTCAGAAAAATGGTTAGGAAAGACCTTCCCTACTAAAGAAGACTGTATTTGTGTCTCCCAAGAGAGACTGAGAAAATAAGATACTGATGGTAGCCAGGACGATGGCAAAAAGACAAGACATTAGGGGCAGCTAGGTGGCGCAATGGATAGAGTACCAGCTCTGAAATCAGGAGGACCTGAGTTCAAATCCGACCTCAGACACATAACACTTACTAGCTGTGTGATTCTGGGCAAGTCACTTAACCCCAATTGCCTCACACACACATATATTAAATATTAAAATTTTAAATTATTATTAATTTGAATTAATTATTTAAAATATTAAATTAATTTATTTAAAATAAATTAATTATTTAAAATTTTAAATAAAAAGAATATTAAAAAAAAAGACAAGACATTGAACGGTGCAATGGAAAGAGATGGTAATCCAGGGGTCTCTTCCTCCCTATGCCACTTAATAAACACTTGACTTTAGTCAAGTCACTTTCCTCATCCATATAATGGGCATAATAATCCCCGCCCTGCTTATATTACAGAGCTGTGTGGACTAAGTAGGGTAATGGATGTGAGGGTTTGGGAACTTCAGAGTGCAATACCAACACGAGGAATGAATTGTTCCAGCCTCCAAGGCATCATGGGTGTGCAATTAAAAAAAGGTCTCGAAGGATCCCAGGAGCAGGAACTTCGTGGGGTTCTTAGGTATCAGAGAGCCCCTGAGCTGGGACAGTGAGCACAGAGTACCCACAGGTTAGGGGAGCCAGTGGGCAAGGTCTAGTGTGTTACAGTTAAGCTTGCAGCAGCTACTGTAGGTAGGCCTTGGGGTGGGGTTGAGTGTTGGCCAAGGGAGGTAGAGAGAGAAGACATTCACCCTGCTAGGCTCACCAGGTTTCCTTAAAGCAGTTTTGGGCAATCAAGGTTAAACTCCTGACTGCTTTGGGCCCCTTCTCCTTCTTACTCTCCCCTCTCTGGTGTCCAGGATACCCAGAGAAAGGTTCAGTCAGAATGTCAGGATGGGATGAGTATTCTGGGGTATTTTCTGGCTGGTATCCAAACATAAGTACCCCATCCAGGAGGGGTGAGTGCAGTTGTGTGTGTGTGTGTGTGTGTGTGTGTGTGTGTGTGGTGAAGAGATGATAGAAAGGCAGAGGCCTCTGGGAATTTTCATTGGAACAGGAGTCCCAGGGCAGCTGTTTATCTCCTTTCCAGCTGGTGCCTGGGTAACCAGCACCCACCCTGGGCATGTTTTCCGGAACTGAGCATCTAGGGAGGGGCTACTATAGCTAGAAGGCACCAGTCTGGCCCTGGGAGGGGGGCCCGGGCTACGGCCTCAACAGTGGGTGGGCATCTGCTTCTTCTCATTGCCAAAATGGGGCCTGCAGCTGTCTAGCGAGGAGGATCGGGTGACACATGACCAAGGTAGCATGGGGCTAAAATTAGAGAGGGGGCAGAGGCAGAGAGAGAGTACAAACCACCACCGTCCCGGGAGTTTGAGACTCTGGGATTAGCTTTCGGGCTGAATGGGGCTCAGAGGAAATCCCCTGAGGCGGAGCGGGGACCCCTGTGGCAGTGTGGTGGCCAGGACCCTGGGGGGAGGAGTTCTCTTTCTTTGAAGTGCCCGAGTATCCGGCGGCCCGCAGAGAGGGGAAACTCCCCCTTCCCCCAGGGGGCCGACGCTGGTGCTGGGAAAAGGAGGAAGAAGAAGAAGAGGAGGGTTCTGGCTCCGGCCTGCCCTGCGTCCCTCTCCCCTAGCCTCTCACCCCCTGCCTTCCTGCTCTCTGATGTTGCTCCTGCTCACGCTATGGGCCCTGGTGCCCTGCCTCGTGCTCTTAACTCTCTACTTTGTCTCCATCACAGGAGGGAAGAGTGGGGGCAACAAGAAGAATGACGGTGTGAAGGTAAGCTCCCCTTGATGCCTGAAAGGGCCTCAGGTGTGGTGGAAAAGAGCACAAGATTTGGAGCCAGAGGGGACCTGGGTTCGAATCCCAACTGTTACATACTACCTAAGACAATGGGCAGTTTACTTAATTTCTCTGGCCTTCAGTTCCCTCATCTTTCAAATGAGGGGGATGGAGTAAATGGTTTTTATTTTTAAGGTTACTACCAATTCTGAATCTATGGTGCTATGATAACAGAGCTCACACTCTGTGTGCGTGTGAGTGTGTGTGAGTGTGCTGAGAAGGGGGTGGGACTTCAACCGCTCTGGGTGTCCTGCCATATTCGTAAGGTTGATCATCTGGGAAGGTGCCAACATCGGGGGCATCTGACTGTCGGTGCAAATCAAGTCACACGGATAGTCTATTAAGAAATGGGTACCTTCCTCATCTCCCAGTCTCTCCTGGGTGCCCTCTTTCCTTCTGTGAGGGCATAGGAATGTCTGGGAGCAGAAGTCAGGGAGACATTAGGGGAAAGGGGGCAAAGGAAAGTTTGAATACAGGGAAAAAAGGATAGGTCAAGAATAAAAGAGAGAGGGTTTAAATCCTCCCAAGTGAACCAGAGTGCTGGAAAACAAACAGATGAGTGAGTGCTCAGGAATTTAGAAGGATAATAAAAAGTTCCCCATAAAAGCTTGTAGGTGTCCATGAGCCTCAGTTACTGGAAGCCTTGGGTACATATATTAGGTTGAACATGGAGACTTTGGCCTCCATACTTTCCCCCAAATTCCACTGAAGTAGCTAATGATGTCCTTCTATTTCCCTTAGGGCTATTTGGCAGGAATAAGTCTCTGGCCCCACTGAGTAAGGACTCATCAGGAATGTAGGATATCTGGGACCTAAAAAGATCCTTCCTGTTTTTTTTTCCCAAAGACATATTCAGTGGTCTATTGGGGATGCTACCTGAACAATGATTCTATCCCCTGCCTATTGCATCTCCCCTGAAGAGTTCCAAGGCCTAAGGGGACCAAACTGAAGAATATCTGTCCCCTCCCCAAGAGAGAGAGGGCTTGACCTTCTGTCTCAGAAAAATGGGTATAAGTTGCCTTTCTCCTCCCCCTTACCCTCATGCCATGCTGGTGGCCAGTTCCCCAGTGACGCTTCTTTATCTTCACTTCTTCCCTTTCTCTACTATCCTTTCCCTCTTCTCTCTGATGAATGGTGCTTGTGCCTCTAGGAAGTACACTGGCTTCACCCTGCCCTTGGCTCTCTTCCTCTGCAAGGTTACTGTTCCTGGTTAGGCCTTGCCACCCTACCACACTTAGCTCCCCCAGCACATGGGCTGTATGCCATGATGGGGTGTTAAAGTGAGTGACAGTGGGATTTTGGGAAGTCTATAATAATCCAAACTAAGTGGATTCTAGTGCTTCTAGTGTTCAATTGCTGGCCTTTCTGGATTATCCCAATCATTGTTTGGAGGTAGTGCCAGAAACCCAGATTAATTTTATTATTGGCCTGAGTCAAACCTAATTAATAAGATGAAAAAAGCCCTTTCCCCCAACACAAACAAATATACACGCACACACACACACACACGCGCGCGCGCACACACACACGCACACACACACACATATATATATATATACATATAAATATATATATATATATATATATATATATATATATATATATATATATACATATACTGTACTCTAGAGTCAATTAGAGGTGACTCTGGATGATTTTATATTTTCCCTGCCATGGCTTATCATTGTTTACTTGGGGAATTGAGAGTTGCCTGTGTTGAGATAGCCACATGGTAGGGGTTACTGACTTTGGATGCATGGTGGCCGTCCTTGGTGACTGGTGTCTTTTCTGCTGAGCTGGGGTGATAGGCCTCCTGGGAAAAAGCCTAGTGTTGAGGTGGCCTTGAGCTGAAATTGTCGGCCAAGACTAAATTCCCTAGTATTCTGTATCTTGAGGGTAGGGGAGATAGGGCAGAAAGTTCTAATAGGGTTTGATGGGCTTTGGTGCAGGTTCTGAGGAGTTATTTTAGGGATTGAAGGAAGGGAGGCCCCAGGCTCCTGCATGGTCAGTTGGGTTGTAAGTCCTGTGCTGTTGGGACAAAGGTGCTTCAGTCTGAGGAACCAGAAGGAATTCTGCTGGGTGGGTGGGGCAGTGAGTGATTCATCCCCAGGACTACCCCCACCAAATCTCAGGCATGGCCTGAACCCCTTAGGGCTGAGACCACAACGTGGCTTTTGCAAATTGGCTTTGAAGTTGGATCCTCTGTGTGTGAGACCAGAGAGATGGAGAAGCGAGAGACAAAGGAACCTCAGTGCTGGAGAGGCAGTAGTCGGACCCAGACTCTGAAGCTGCCATCTGTGGGCAGCAGAGTGGACATTGCCTATGTGGACCAAAACGGCACCCCTTTCCTCTGCCCCATGGCAAGCCCTACGGAGACCATTTATGTCTCCTAGACTGGCAGGGAGGCAGAAGAGGGCCAACATCCTGGGGTTCCTGCGTTGCTTTTAGTCAGGGGAAGGCCTGGCTGGGACAACCTTGGGAGATCCCCTCCTGATGCTGTTTCACCACCCTCTCCTCTCTTCTGGCAGCCTCAGGAGGGAGGCAGGAATGGGGTGGGGGAAGGCCACAAGCTCTGACCAGGAATGCCCAGGGAGCCATTGCCAGTCACTGGAATCCTCAGAATGAATAAGCCTAGCCTTCTCTTCCTTGAATGAAAATCTCCAATGAAAACCATCCCCTGAATCAGAAGGAGTCAGGTTTTAGACAGCCAGCATGTGCTGGCTTTTATTTCTTGATAGATCTCCAAAGGGTTACATATTGGATTGGGCACATTGGGGAGAAACAGTCGTCCCCATCGAAGAGGCAACCTCATAGGGGACATTCAGGAAACCTCTCATCTCTACACCCTGTGCTCATCTACACAGGGGGACTGAGTCCCCTGATTCTTGCCCACCCCAGCCCCACTATCCTCCTTCCTGCATATATAATGGTGAGGGAGGGGGGGAAATGAGGCCCCTCTCCCGTCCACCCCCACCCCTTCTGCCTCACAGAGGCTACCAAAGCCATTCACTGCCCCAACATGTGGTGTCCCATCCTGTCCTGTTGTGATAAGTGCACTCACTCCCCACCCCCGCCCGCCGTGTCCCATCCTGTTACTGTGTGTCCAGAACCCAGTACAGTCGCTGCTCTGTGTTTGCATCATGTTTTTCCGTCTGAAACGTCTGCCCCACGTGACAGACCTGAGTGAGTAGAGACAAGTCTCTCAGCCCCCCTGTCTTTTTGGGTTACAGCTGAAGACAGAACAGCCACTGGACTCCAACCCCTGCCAGAGGCCTTCGGGCTCCCACCATACACTGGCTCGCATCATGGCATGGAGGCCATCTAGAGGACCATGCCCATGGAAGGGGAGACTGGGCCAGAAAGGCTCTTGGTGAAGGGGCAGGCAGGCATAGGCGACTAGACTTACTCCAGTGGGGAGTGCTACCCAGATCTTCAGAGAAGAAGGCTGTAATATCTGTGGAGGGGGTTAGGACCTAACAACTGGGCTCTTGAATGTGGCTTCTAAGCCTTTACTCACCCTGCCAGGAAGGTAGCATTCCATGAGTCATCAGTGAGCTTTGGCATAATGACATTGTGGCTCACTGGTATCCCTGTTGAGCTTTTTGAGACATCTCAGTCCCACCTCACCCAGACACACAGGGACTTAGTCCATACCTGGATTTCTGGTTTAAGAGTCAGAGAAAGAGAAAATCATTTGGAGCCGTGCTTTCTCTTCCTCCATCTTCCTACCTTATTCCTTTTCCTCCCATCCCACTTCTCTTCTCCTTCCTCTTCCCATTCCCCTCCCACTTCAGTGTTGAGACTGGGAAAGAAAAAAGCCTGGATGCCTAAGAGAATTGGAATAGTCTCATGGTCAGGGCCAAATTTGAATCTTGGCTATTTAGAGTAGTCATTGTATGACCTTGGGCAAGTCATTTAACTCTTCTAGGTTTCATTGTCTCTATCTGTAAAATAGGGTTGTCCGCTGCTCTTTGCAGATTTGTAAGATGTCAGAAAAAAAAAGTGATGGAAATCAAACTTGATTTAGAATTAGTGCTAGATGGAAGAGCGCTGTGTAGAGGCACTTAACAGCTCTTCTCAGATACTTTGGAGATGTCTTGGTCACTGGTATCTGAACCAGTTTACCCCAATCTTCTGAGACTTCACTGAAGCCTGGCCTGCTCTTGTTTCTGGAAGGCTAAGCCCTGAGAATACTAGCAGCTGAGGGTCCTTTCTGACAAGCTCCAGGCGGGGTCAGAGAGCACCGCCTCTCAACTCTTAGAGTCAAATTCCCATTTGAAAGCCAATTAACTGTGGCAGTCTCGACCTGGCTGCTGGGGGGTGACTGGCATCCAGGGCACCATACCCCCTCTCTCACCAAAGCTTGGCATGGTGGGTAGCTCTAGTTCAGGATGGATTCTGGGCTGGGATTTGGAGGATTTGAAGGGTAAGGCCCAGGCAGAGTTAGGAGGATTTGAATGGCAGGGCCCAACAGAGTTAGGCAGGGCCTCAGATCTGGCTGGCCCTCAGAGTTATGGTAAGTGGGGGAAGTGTCCCTAGGGTCATGGGCATGCCACACCTTGGGCACTACCCTCTGTCTCTGAGTGCCAGATTTCAACACCTTTGAAGTACTACTAACACTGGCCCAGGGGCCATTGCCTCCTTCCTCCCCCACTCTACTTCCCTCTCCCCACTACTCTCTACCGTTTTGCCACTGTGTCTCTTCCTGTCCCATCTCTTCTCCTTGTTTTTCCAGAAAAGAAAGTCCAGTTCCAGTGTTCAGTTAATGGTGAGTGTCTGCCGTCTTCCTAAATGCCGGTAATGCTGGGCCTCAGCGCACTCCCGCCTTGCTCCTAGAGGTCACACTGGGGATGTGGGGTGGGAAGAGGGGGCCAAGGGCGTGTGTGGTATATGTGTATTATGTGGCAAACATGTATGTTGTTTGTGTGTTTATGTTAATACCTTCAAACTAGTGCTCTGGAACAATCCATTTCATAGTATAGGACCAGTATTGACCCGTTGTGGGCAGTGGTTGACATGGCCCTTGTCCAGCTCCTCAGGCCATTTCCCAGTCTGCTTCTCTTGAAGCATTCTCCCTGGAGTTCTTTAGCCCAAGGCCCTCAGCTTTCACCCTAAAATCCAACTTTTTGAATTACCCAGTTACTAAATGATGATGCGGTGGTGGCCAGTATAGATTTGTGGGTGTAGCAGTATAGGGACACCACCTGGGGGTCTTTTGTGGAGTGAGGTGCCTGCCCAGTGTGCATTGGGCCGATCAAACCCCAGTCCTGGACTTCCTTGACATCTCCATAGGCCTGTCAGTGTAACCAGTGGGTGCGCTTGGGGCTCAGAAATGCGCTTTGTGTGACTGTGCATCTTTCCTGACTGTAGTTTCATGTGTTCTCTCCCACTTCTGCACAATTCTCTCTCCCTCATCCTAATTCACACTCCTTTCTTTTTTTTTTTCCTGTAAATTTGTACCATTTCCCCCTGATTGTACAGTCAACATGGCATCACTCTGCTCCTTTCCACGACTCCTCGACCCTGTTCTGGCTAAAGCCTCTTCCCATCTCACAGCTGAGGCCAGAGTTGTCTATGTATCCATTCCCATAAGACACCTCCATAGACAGCCCTTCCACTGCCACTTCCTTCTCCTCCTCCTCCTCCTCCTCCTCCTCCTCTTCCTCATTGCTCCCTGAAAGTTAGGTTGGGTTTTAGCTGCTCTGTCTGGGCTCCAGGGCCTGTCTGGCTCTTGGACTCTCAGCTAAGTTCTCTGGTGACCAGGGTCGGTAGAAGCCGTTGTGCTTGCCATCAGCTGAGCAGGTTCCTTGGTCTCAATGGTCAGCCTGGGGTTCATTTCTTTCCTATTGTTTTCCCCCCTGTTCTGTGCCCAGGAATCTTCTGAGAGTACCAATACCACCATTGAAGATGAAGACACCAAAGGTAGGAGGGCTGGCTCCATTTTTCCTTCTGGGAGACTCTGTGGTTGAACCTTTCTAGCCTTGCCTAACTTAGTTCTAGTCTGTTCCTTTGTAATGGGGATCTGTATGCCGAAGTTAATGTCTGCCTAGAGGGATTGTCTAATCAGAGCAGGACAAAAGTATCTGGATATAAGCTCCTTTGCTATTGGGAAAACCCCATAGGACTGGGGTGCTTGATTCCACAGAGTAATTTCAGATCTGTCTCCAAGGGCGAAGCTGCAATAGACACCAGAAGTCTCTTTAATCTTTATTTCCAGGCTCCAGATCTTATCCAGGCAGAAACTACTCTTTGATCACTTAACCACCAGTGATCAGGCAGGACTCACTGTGTTCTGTTTCCCCGTCTCTGATCCCCATTTATCCCTTGATGCCCCATAAGATGCTCAGCACTCCTAGCATCTTCTCCTTTCCTTTGCCCCTTTGCCACATATACACACAACACACTCACTCACTTGGGGACCCAAGGAGAAGAGTAAGGGACAGACATTTTTTGGTGGAATCACAAGTAATCAAAGACACATAAAAATAAATTGACCTGAGTCAAACTGGATGGTTGCAAAGCTTATAGATCTACCTGCCTCTCTGGTCCCTTCTAAATCCCATCAAGGGTTTATATCCTCTGTGAAAGGGGTTGGGTGCCATATCAGGATAAGCCCTCAGAAAGTCAGTCTCCCTCCATTCAAGAATGGCATACTTCTGGACTGAGTAGACTCCCCTCCCAAAGTCCAGTTTTCTTGGTTCACCCTAGGGCCATGATTTAAAGTTTGTCACCAACCCTCAACTAACCTAGAACTCAAGGGCTACATTCTAGTCTTTCTCCTCTCTTAATTCCTGGCTCCAGGCCATATCCATTCTGAAGCCCAAGGACCTTCCACTATGATCACTCACCACAGTAGGACCTGGTTTCTTACTTGTGATCCCTCTCCTTTCATCACTATCTTTGTCCCAAGGGACATCACATTGATTTTCTTGGTGCCCCAAAACACTCCAATAGTTTATAGAGATACCATGTTTTTTTATAGCCACCAGTCTGGAAGGTTGAGGTGATACCATTGATTTCCCACTCCCCTTTTAACCCTAATTTTGGATCTGATACTATTTGGGAAACCCTCATAATGATCGAAGATCCAGATCAGCAAACAATAATAAATCATCTTGGTATTTTCACTTCTTTACACAATCACCATCTGGACAGGGTAACAACCATTCCTAAGTCTTACCAGTTACAGTCAGAGAGAAGACAGTTCTTAATGCTCAATTTGAACCATATGAACCTTTAGATTAAGTGATTTTTTTCTAGGAAAAAGATTTGGGACAGGTGGCTGGTTTCATCTCCATTCTGGACCCAGGATTGATACTACAGAGTATATCACCCTTCTCAGGAAGCTGTTTGAGGGGGCTTGGGCCAACACCAAAGTTGTCGGTGATATCTGCCTGAAGCAGAGAGAGGGGCATGAGAGAGTTTATTGGCCTCAAGGGAGAAGTGGAACTTCCTTCTCTGGCTCCCACAGATTTAATAGACAAATCCTAAGGGTGATCAGTCCTCTGGGGAGCTTCTTACTATTTGGTGGGAATTGCTGGACTCAGTGTAGCCTAGTGGAAATAACACTGGGTTTGAATCCCAGTTCTGGCTACCTCACCATCTCATTACCAGAGAAGATAATGTATGTAAAGTGTTTTATAAACTTTATGGCTTATATAAATGTTAGTTATTATTATTATTTATTGTTGCCTGTGTGACTAAGGATGAATTATTTAACCTCTCTTGGCTTTAATTTTTTTATTTGTAAGATAAAGTAGCTAAATTAGAGCAGCGGTTCTCAGAACCCCGTTTGGGGGAGTCTTTACATTTCAGGACTTTATTAAAAATTATTGAGAATCTCCAAAAAATTTTTGTTTATATGTGTTATACCTATCAATATTTACTGTTTTGGGAATTTAAGCATCTTAGTATTATTATGAAAATAGTTTTGACCTCACATACCCTCTGAAAAGGTCTTGCGGATCTCAGAGGTTCCTGGACTGTACTTTGAGAGTCATTGGACTAGGCCTCTGATCATAGAATTAAAGCTAGAAGACACCTTAGAGATTATCTAGTCCAACTCCCTCATATTACAGATGAGGAAACTGAGACCTGGAGATATAAGTAACCTGCCCAAGGTTGCAAGGCAGTAAGTAGCCGAGCTGGGATTTTAACGTGGGCAATCTTTTGCTAACTTCACAATTTTCAGCATGTGTCTGTTTCTAAATCTGTGGTATTATAAATGAGGAAGGCCTTCTGGTAAATATTTCCCTGATGAGGGAGGCAAGCTATGATTCAGTCAGTTGGGATGGGGCCTTGGCAATGTAGCTGTCTAATGATGTCAGAGAGTTCTGATCTTGGGATTTGGTATGGAGCCAAAAAAGACGCTAGCTTTGAACGAGAAGGGCACCAGGGTGGAGGCATCTCTGGAAGAAAGGTACCCCAAATAAGGTGAGATACTGGCAAGTGGTGGTAGAGCAAGGCGGAGTGGAGAAGACGGAGGAACCCTAAGGGTTTCTGGCCAGCTTCCTTTCCTGGCTGGGATTCTATATCCCATAAACTCCTCATCCCTGCCTCTCCTCTTGGAGGTGGTGTGGGATGAGAGAGCAGTAATCTCTGGGCTGACAGCATCATAGACTTAGAGGTGGAAAGGACCATCTGGCCCAACTCTGTTATTTTACAGATGAAGAAACTGAGGCTCAAGGCGGTTGAGTGACTTGCTCAGAGTCATGTAGCTAGCATCAGCAGCATGATTTGAACCCGAGTCCTCTCTGTCCAGAGCCAGTGTTCTCTCTGCCACGACACGCTGCAAGAAGGAGGGATTCACTGGATTGTCACACTTGCTTGTGTGTTTCCCTTGGCTGTTTCTGTGGTATTAGCTTCTCAGGGCAAAGAACAGACGAGGAAACTTGAGGCAACGCAGTGTGTGAATGAATAAATGCATAAAGCATTTATTAAGCTCTTTCTGTTTGCAAAGAACTGGGGATGCAAATAGAAAAGTAAGATAGTTCTAATCCTCAAGGAGCCCCAAGTTCTAATGGATGAGACAATGCAGAGGGAAGGTTTTACCTCCAAGTCTGATAGAAAAGCTTAAAGGTCCTTGGGGTATGCTGGGAAAGCATATGTTAATTTTTCTTCTTTAATGTCATTTCCACTGATTAAATGATATTATTTTATATACTTCCATGTAAATATTTCATATATAAATATGTTACATATTTATACAGTTATATATTTTATATATAAATATTTCATATATTTCTATACAAATATATTTAAATATAAATATTTTATGTCTATACAAATATATTTAAATATAAATATTTTATATGTTTCTATTAAACATGTATGCATGCATATAAGTATCTCTATTTTTATATGTAAATATTTTCCTATTTACATGTAAATATGTATATATTTTACATATTTATTTGTAAATATTTTCTAGATTAAGACAGTGAGAAGCACAAGGAATTTGGAATTAGACGAGCTAGATTTGAATTCTAACTTATTCACTGTATGATCTTGGGAAAAATATTGATCCTCTCTTAGTTTCAGTCAGTCAATAAATATTTACAAAGCACCTTCTACATGCAGAGCTCTGTGCTTAGCATTGGGGATTCAAAGAAAAATAAAAGACAGTTCCGTCCCAGGGGAGCTGACAGTCTAATGATTTCCTCACTAATAAAATGAGATGGGGGTTGGACTAGGTGACCTCTTGGGTCCCTCCCGGTCCTAAGGCTTGTGAGGAGCAAAGGGGGTTGTCACAAGCAGCACCTGAGCAAAGGTAAAAGGCTAAGAGGTTTCCTTTGGAGCTGAGAAGGCCTTCATTAAGAACAGGAGAACAAAATGCAGTCCCCCAGATTATCATCCTTCCTTGTATTTGCAGAATGATTTTTAGCTCTTCAAAGGTTCTTACATTCATGATCTTGACCCTCTCAATAGCCCTGGGAGGGAGGGATGGGGGCTAGGAGGAAAGGGACTACTGCTCACATTTTACAGAGAACCTGAAATGAGTGTGCATGCTGCTGTGTGTGTGTGAAGAAATTCTTAAATTACTGATACACACACAAAAAAATCTTTGTGCCTTGCTCCCTCCACTCATCTTCCCTTGGAGTGGTTGACACCATCTAGCAATAAGAACACTGGACTGAGGAGTAGCTGGGATGGCCAAAGAGGTATGAGGGGGAAGTCGTAGCAATAACTCCTCTTTCTAAGGCTATCCTCACAATAAGCTCATGATGGAACAGCTAGGTGGCACAGTGGATTGAGCACAGGATCTGAAGTCAGGAGGACCTGAGTTCAAATGTGGCCTCAGATACTAGCTGTATGACCCTGGGCAAGTCACTTAACCCCAATTGCCTCAACCCCCCCCCCAAACCCATGAGGTAGGTTGTATAAGGATTATTACCTGTGTGACCTCGCCAACCTGAACCTTGGTTTCCTCATCTCTAAAATGAAGGGGTGAGACTAGATGGGCTCTGAAGATCTAGAGCTATGATCCTTTGAAGAAACCTCCCTCCCCTCCATTTTACAGATGAGGAGAGTGAAGGCCAGGGTCACAAACATCTACTAGCTGTAGGAAGCACCACCTTGACCCCAGTCTCTCTCCTACAGCTCTGGCATTTCCCCCACAGAAGCTTTCTGCTCTACCATTCCCTGGCTCTGCCCCTAATGGGAATATACCAACCAGGAGCTTAGGCCTCTTCTTGGCCCTTGCCTCACTATTTGACCTTAAGAAACATGCTTCACCTCTTAGTGCCTCATGTTTCTCCTCTCTGAAAAGAAGCACCAGGAGGCCAGGATGGTCACCATCTATGTGAAATGTCAGGAACCAAGTGGGGACCTGGCCTGCTGCCTCTGAAGAGCTGCTGGATGCATTCCCACACATTAGGGCTGGGCAGAAGGAGGGGCCTGGGGCAGACATTCGTGGTTCCCAAAGTTAATCTGTTTTCAGCTTCTGAAAAGACGTACGATGTTAGAGGAAGGGCTTACGGGCCTGGGAATATTATGGGGTTCATAGAGGGGCGAGTGTAGAGGACAGTAGACAGCTGGTCTAGAAGTCAGGTCAACCTAAGCTGGAGTCCCGACTTTGACACATACTGACTGTGACACTGGAAAAGTCACTCATTTCCTTTAAGCCTCTGCTCAAGCAACATCTGCATGGAGCCTTTCCTGATTCCCCTGGCTCCCCTGCTTTCCCATTTATCTTCTATATACTTTTATCAGAGGAGACATGAGCACCTTGAGGGTAGAGATTTTCATTTTTGTTTCTATAGCCCCAGCATCTAGTCCAGTGTTGGCACATGCTAGGTGTTATTGGTATAATGCAATGTAGAATGGAAGAGCAGCTAGGTGGCACAGGCAGTGGATAGAGCCCCAGCCCTGGAGTCAGGAAGACCTGAGTGCAAATCTGGCTTCAGACACTTACTAGCTGTGAGACCCTGGGCAAGTCATCTAACAATGTTTGCCTCGGTTTCCTCAACTGTAAAATGATCTAGAGAAGGAAATGGCAAACCACTCCAGTATCTTTGCCAAGAAAACTCCAAATGGGCTCATGAAGAATGGGACATGACTGAACAACAACAAATGTAGAATGTAAATTCCTTAAAGACAGGGGCTATTTTGTTTTGTCTTTGTACCTCCAGCACTGAACATGGTGCCTAGCCCATAGGTAAGTGCTTAATAAATTCTTGATGACTGATCACATAGAGGAAAGAGTAGGTATTTTTGCTTGGCACTGATGAGTAGAATTAAGACCAGTAGGTGGAAGCTACAAATGTGCAGACTGAGACTCAAAAGTATTGATTATCATTCAGTTGTTTTCAGTCATGTCTTACTCTCTGTGACTCCATTTGCTGTTTTCTTGGCAAAGATACTGGAGTAGATTGCCATTTCCTTTTTCAGCTCATTTTACAGATAAGGGAAACTGAGACACAGATAGTCAGTGTCTGAGGTTGGTGAAGGGTCTACTTGCTTCTGGGCCCAACACTATGCACTATGGCGCCACCTAGCTGCACCAAGGAATCAATTAGAGACGCCCAATGGTAGAATGGTCTAGCTCAAGAAGTACATGGCAATGCCTCTGGAGGCCTTCACGTGAATGGGGAATGACCACTTATCTGATCATTGCCATATGGTGCGGTAGTGGAAAAAGCCCCAGATTTTGAATCTTAAGGCCAAGTTTCAAGGCTCAGCTTTGCCACAGATTATGTATGTGACCTCAGACAAATAATCCCATCTTTTTGAGACTCGGTTACTTAATCTGTAAAATTGGGATAATAGTTGTAATACCTGTGTTACAGAGTTATTGTGAGACTCATTGGAGTCAGGATGACATGTTTGATACAACTAGCCATGTGACCCTTGGTAAGTCATTTACTCTCAATGCCTCAGGTAAAGCTCTCTAAGGTCATAGGTTGCAGAGCAGTCATTGATCTGCTTTGGTAGAAAGAAGTTCCTCACTGGATAGGTCCTTACACCCATGAAATCACAGGTTCTGACCCATAAGTCACTGAAATAATACATTAAAATCCTTTGCAAACTGCAAAGTGCTATATGAATACCAAACATTGTTATTATTCTGTCATAGAAAGTATTCATCCTTCAGGTAGCTAGGTGGTAGCTTGAGGCAGTTAGGTGGTGCAATGAATACATTGCCAGGCCTGCAGTCAGGAAGACCTGAGTTAAAATTTGTCCTTAGATGCTTACTGGCTGCGTGACCCTGGGCATGCCACTTAACCTCTGTCTGCCTCAGTTTCCTCAACTGTAAAACTGGGATCATAATAACGCCTATCTCTCAAGTTTGTTGTGAGGACCAAAAGAGGTAATATTTGTAAAAATGTTTAGGATAGTGCCTGGCACATACGAGGTTTTTAATAAATCCTCCTTCCCTTCTCCTTCAGGTTATGATTCTGTGATTCTTCTTAGAGTTGGAATCTTGTTCTGGCACTAGCCAGATTAAGCATGGACAAGTCACTCAGTCGTTCTGAGTCTCAGTTTCCTTATCTGTAAAATATAAAAGACTATTTGTCTTTCTACATTCACGGGGATTTTTCTGAGTACAGTGTTCTGGCAATGGGAAAGAGTTGTAGGAACACAAGCTATTATAATTGTAGTCCTTGGGGGCCCAAGTTTGTGCTACCCCTGAGAGGCATGGCCCTGGCCTACTTGAGCTTGTGTCCAGCATCAAGTTACTTGATGGTGGGTCAGCAGGCACAAGATGGCAGCAGAGCAGCTCCCATTAGCTCCAGAGCCAGAACTTCCCCCAGGGTTTCAGTCTCACTATCAGGCTCCCCTGGGGAAAACTGCTGAGGGCAGGATATTTAAGACACTGCCTGAAGGCCAGCTGGCTTCTGGGATTTCATTACTCATACTGGGTTCTCCCTTTTCATCACTTAAGACTTCCGAAGGACCCCATCCTCTGCCTGTGATTTAGAGTGAGAGTCCATCCTCGGGCTGTGATTTAGGACCAAGTATCCCACCCTCAGACTGTGTCTTAGAATAGGGGGTCGCTAGCCTCTGACTGACTTATACCCAGGTGGTCCATCCTTTGGTTTCAACAAGTGGTGATGACCATTTGTGTGGGTGTGATGGAAAAGGGATTCTTGTTCAGGTATGATGGTCTCTGAAGTCCCTTCCAACTCTGCACTTCTGTGAGGCTCGGGGTACCAGAAAGAGCATAAGACTTGCAGTCAGGAGACCTAGGTTGCATTGCTAATTCTTACATTAGCTGTGTAAATACTGGACAAGTCAACTCATCTTCTTTGTAAACTGGAGCTAATGATTCTTGTCCTAACTCAAGGGACTGGGAGCAGACTACTTTGTGAGAGGCCATGCTGAGAAGTGGAAAGAGGGCTTAATATGGAATCAGAAGGCCGGGGTTTGATCCCCTCCTCTTTGACTTATTAACTGCGTAACTTGAGTAAGGGAAGGAAAGGGACGAGGAAGGGGCTGAGCATTTATAGAGTGTCTACTATGTGCCAGGCACCATGCTAAGTGTTTTTTTTTTAATAAATATCCTGTCATTTGACCCTCACAACAACCATACAAGGTAGGTACTATTTTTATCCCCATTTTACAGTTGAGGAAATTGAAGCAAATTGCCCAGGATCACACAGCTAGTTTTGTGTCTGAAGCTGGGTTTGAACTCAAGTCTTCATGACTCCAGGCCCAGAGCTTTTTTCATTATGTAACCAGCTGCCTCTAAGCACTTACATAAAGCCTGCTATGGGCCAGGCACTTTTTATAAATATGATATCATTTGATCCTTTACCTTTCAGTCATTTACTTCCCCTGGCCTCAGTTTCCTCATATGTAAAGTGAGGGAATGGGTCCAGATCATTTTTACAATCCTTAATAAAAGGATTTGTTCTGTAAAATACAGCTTTATATACACACATACATGCATACATGTATATTTTTAAAGTTCGCAGACCCAGGTTAAGAAGCCCTAAGGTCCCTCCCAGCTCTAAGATCTGTGTAACTATGAACTATTAATAGGAAATGTTCTTTTCCCTTAGTGTTGGTGGGAATCATATGCACCTGTTATTCTATGCTGGCTTCAGTACCCCCTAAGGGACTTGAATCTTTCTCTTGGGGTGGATGGGGGAGGGGGAGCCATGAGCAGAGAATTCTCCTAAGACAGTAGCAAAGAGACAAGAGGGGCCACAGCCCATTAGCTGAGGGGTCAAGACTTTGTAGAGATGGACAGAAAAAGAAATAGGGATGGGGGGGGTGGGGTGGGCTGGGGCTTTTGAGACACGTACCTTAGGAAGATTCCCTCCGTGTGAAGGCTGCACTGGGAGGGTAGAAACAGGGCTATCAGTTAGGATAGAAGGGCTGTCAGGCTGAGAAAGGCATCTCCTTCCTTCCTGCTTGTGGTCATGTCTTACCACTGCTGAGTGGAGGCTCCTAAAAATTTAGCCCAGAGCCGAGTTCTTTGGGCTCACCATTTGGCCACTGGGAACTGGCCCCCCACTTAGTGGTTTCTGGGGACCATTGCTAAAGCTTCTTCCTGGCCAGGCTACAAATTCCTTTTGTGTTTTGTGTTTCTTTGTATTTTCTCTTTGCCCTGCAGTGAGAAAGCAAGAAATCATTAAGGTCACAGAGCAACTGATCGAAGCAATAAGCAATGGGGATTTTGAGTCCTACACGTGAGTTTGATGGGTACTTCTGGATATCTGGGCCAAGGGAGGAGGGCAGTGTGACTGAATGATTCCGTGGACAGCCAGCCTCAGAGCCAGGAAGACCTGGGTTCAAATTCTGTCTCTGACTCAGACTGGCTGTGTGATCTTGGGCAAACCATTTAATTTTTCTATGCTCTTGGTGACTCTCTAAGACCATTAACGGCAAGAAAGTTATCAACATGCACTAATAGAGGTGCTCTCCTCACCTGGGAGCTCCCTTGAACCAACAAAAGCATAGGGCCAGTCCCTATCCCATCCCTATTCATCTCACTTTTATTTGTAAAGGTCTGCTGAGGGAATGGATCAGCGCAAACTCCTCTTTTGCATTTAGATTAAACTCATTTGAAGGTTTTTTTCCCTTGGTTAGAATTTTCCTCTCTGCAGCTTGATTTATGTTTCTTTTTCTGCCTTCCCTCCCATGCCTTCCTAACTTTCATTCCCTGTAGACTCTCCCTTTATGCTGCCAAACGATCCTTTACTTCCCTAAGGAACAGATGTTTTTATTTCTTCCTTGAATTCCCGGGGTGCTCTGGGAGCATGTGGGGGTGTGTGTAGATGCGTTGCAGGGTAGAGGGGCTGCAGCTGGACGCTCCCTGGAGGGATACTGGTTGGTGGTGTTTCTCCATCCATGCTCTCTATGGTGAGAACGTTGCTGAGCAGCAGTTCTCAAAGGTTTTGGTCTCAGGACCCCTTTACACTCTTAAACATTATTGAGAACTCTGAAGGGCTTTTGTCTATGTGTGTTATACCTATTAACATTTACCATATTAAATGGTAAAATATTATTTAATTGATACAATTAATAAAATTAAAGCATGATCAATTTAAAAATATTTATTTTATTTTTAAAACATGAAACATTTATTTTCTAGGTTAAAATATTGAATTTATTTAAAATGACAGCAATGAACCAGTTACGTGTTAATATAAATAACGTTTCTATGAAAAATAACATTTTCCAAAAGAAGACAATTTAGTGAGAAGAGTGGCATTGTTTTGTATTTTTAACATTTTATTTTTTCCAATTATATGTAAAACCAATTTTAAATATTCATTTAAATTTTTTTTGGTCACAAATTCTCTCCCTCACTTCTTTCCCACCCCCCTCGTTGAGAAGGTAAGCAACTTGATATAGGTTATACATGTACAGTCATGTAAAACATATCTCCATATTAGCCATGTTGCGAAATCAAATAGAGACAAAAAAAGGCGAGAAAAATAAAGTAGAAAAAGTATGCTTTAATCAGCATTCAGACTCCATCAGTTCTGTGGAGGTGGATAGCATTTTTCATCATTTAAGTCCTTTAGAATTGTGTCCGATCATTGTATTGCTGAGAATAGCTAAGTCATTCACAGATGATCACTGTACACTGTTGCTACTTCACTTTGCATCAGTTCGTGTAAGTCTTCACAGGTTTATTTTGCATGTTTTTGCAAATTTCTTTAATGTTTGGCTTAATAGAAGAGAGCTATATTCTCATATCTGTTTCTGCATTCAATCTGTTGCAATATGTTGTTTTGCTTGAAGTGTGTGAAGAAGACCCAGCCTCACACAGATAGTTAGCTGGGAAAGGAAGAAGAATTTTAACAGGCAAATAACATCATAATATTATCATGAAAATTATTTTGACTTTGCAGGACCACAGAGGTTCACAGACCACCCTTTGGAACCCACTGTTAGAGAACGATCTTTGCTTTTTAATGCACTCTCTGCTCATTCCACCTTGTTCTAGCTTATCCTCTGGGCTGGGATTTCACATTCAATTCAATAAACACTTATTAAGCATCTACTTACTATGTGCAAGGCACTGTGCTTGGCTCAGGGATACAAAGATGAAATGACAAGCATATCAGAGTTTACAAGCCACTGGGGTGTGGAAGGAGGCATGGAAATAACAGACGTGTGTGTGTGTGTGTGTGTGTGTGTGTGTGTGCGCGCGCGCGCGTGTGTAAAATGCAAAGCAGAATATGAAAAGGGTAAAAGAGAGATCTAGATTGCTAGGTAGGACTAGAAATCCACTTTGAGCTGGAAAAAACAAAAAGAATCAAAAAAAGCTTCACGGAAGACTTAGTACTTGAGCTGAGCCTTGGAGGAAGAGATGGTTTCCAAAAAGAAGAGAGGAGGAGGAGGCGGGAGTCTATTGCAGGTTTAGGAATGGCCTATATAAATTACAAGAAGTCAGGAGAAGGCAAGAGGAGACTGGGCATCAGTGAGTAGTCCGGTTTGATTGGAATGGAGACAATGTAGCATGAAATAAATCTGGAAAGGTGGATAAGGGAGCCAGATTATGGAAGGCTTTAAATGCTAGGCTAAGGAGTTTGTAATCTCTCCTGAAGGCTGTGGGGAGTCCTGGTGGTTTTTGACCAGGGGAGTGACCTGGTTAGAACTAGGCACTGCGAAGATTTATTTGGCAGCCGCGTCAAGGATGGATTACAGAGTACAGGAACTGGAGGCAGAGAGACCAGTCAAGCTATTCCAATAGGCCGGGGGAAGAAACAAGGGCCTGAACTAATGGAGAAGATTTTGTAGGGGTAGAGTCTTCAGTATTTGGTAGCTGCTTGGATATAGGGAATAAGGGAGAAGGCTGGATAACTCCTCTCAGTCAGAATCTTGCAGGATTCCTGTAAGAAAGGGGAAATGGGCCCTTGGCCCTGAAGGAGAAAGGAGTGCTTTCCATATTCTGCTTTCACCATGCTCTGCTTCAAGGGCTTGGCTGATGGCCCCCTGGGAGTCGGGACACTTCCTACTTGCGTGTTTTGTCAGCTATCTGGGGCAAATGTTAGGGCTGGGTGAGGGGATCAATATTCCTGGATGGGCTTCCTTGTGCTCAAGCCCAGGCTCACTGGAGAGGAGCTGGTGTTGCATGTGCTGGACTTTGGATCTACCTAACCCTAGGGCTAAGAGAGAGCCTAGGGTGTTTGCTCTGTGGCATACCCTCCTGCGGAAAGGGACAAAATGAGGAAGGCCCACTTTATGTGCTAACTGTAGAGAAGGGTCCCGTTAGGAGTGAGCAGAGACGCTTCTTGCTTCCACAGAACACAGGGCCTTTGAAGCCCTAAGTGTGCCTGTTTGTGCATGTGTGGTCAGGTGAGTGAATCAATATTTACTCAGATCTCTGCATATCTTAGTGTGTAAAGTGAACCCCTGAAGTGAGTGCACAAGAAGCCAACATGTCCTGCCCACCCTGAGATTCTGCCAGTATTTAGCAGCAGAGGGAAGGGAAGGAAGAAAGGTAGGGTCCTCTGGGTCTCCATTAAGATTCATAGGATAAGGTACGAAAATAAAATGCTAGAATTCTAGGGGACTGTAGAACACAGAATATAGAATGTCAGAGCTGGAAGGATCTTAGGAAACAGAACATGGAAGGTCAGAGCTTGAAAGGATCTTAGGAAAGACTTATCAGGAATAGATGGAAGGGACCTTAAGGGATTATACTATCTAGTAAAATCCTGCCCCAGGATCCCCATTCAACAGATGAAGAAACTGAGGTCCAGGGAGGTCCCTGTTTGCTCTTGCTTTCCCCAGGAAGATGTGTGACCCTGGGATGACAGCCTTTGAACCTGAGGCTCTGGGAAACCTGGTCGAAGGCCTGGACTTCCATCGATTCTACTTTGAAAACCGTGAGCAATTCCTTCCCTCCGTGGTGCCTGTTGTCTCCTCTCGTTGCTTGTCCTGTCGGCTGGCAGCGTGTCTCAGCCTCCTGGGAATAGCAGTGTGACAGACAGGGCCCCCGGGCAGCTCAAGACCCCGAGAAGCCTGCAGGAAGCCCCATGCGGAACGTGGGTTGGTACCATCTCAGATACCTCTCCTAACCCTGGCCAGGCAGACTGCACTCCCCAGCCCTCCCCTTTAGTAGATAGAGGCAGGGACCTCGGGGCTCACAGGAGGGACAGGGGGCAGGCAGCCCTTCCCCCAGGGTCCCTGAGAAAAGTGTGGCTATCACAGGGCACGCAGGTTCTCTCCAGCGTGGTTCTGATCTCACAGGCAGGCCGGCTGGCCATTTGGGATGGAGCTTTGGGTGTGTTAGCTGGGCGAGAGCCGGGGAGGACCTCACACTGCTGTACCCCGCCCCTGTCTGTGTGCCATGCCGCTGGGTCTCTGTTCTTCATGTCTGTTAGTCCTGTGCATTCCCCCAGCAGGGGTAGCATGATACCTGGGGGCTGATCTGGGGCTTCCGCAGGACTGTTTCTGCCTTTGCCTGTTTTCCCTGTTAACTGGCTCTGAAAACTCTCCCAGCTATGTTACCCTAAGGGGCCCTCATGGAGTCTTAGAGTTGGAAGGAACCTTAATGGAGCAGTCAGCCCAACCTCCTTTTTATAGATGAGAACACTTATACTCAGAGAGGGCAAGGGACTTTCCCAAGGACACCCACTGAGATAGCAGGACAATCAGGACTGATGATAATAATAGCTTACATTTTCATAGTACTATGAGAGTCCCAAGTGTTTTCTTAGAAAATCCAAGCTCCTGGGACAGCTAGGTGGTGCAGTGGATAGAGCACTGGCCCTTGAGTTCAAATCTGACCTCAGACCAAACACTTGATACTAGCTGTGTGACTCTGGGCAAGTCACTTAACCCTGATTGCCTAAAAAAAAAAACCTAAGCTCCTTCAGGGCAGGGACAGTTCCACATTTGTCTTTGTATTCCTACTCACTTGCTCAATCAATAAACATTTATTAAGCCCTTGCTGTATTCCAGGAATTGTGCTAAGTACTGAGCTAGCATATAGTAGGTGCTTAATAAATGCTCATTGATCACTTGATTTCCTTACAACAACCCTGTGAGGTAATTGGGGTAAGTATTGTTACCTACATTTTATAGAAAAAGAAATATACTTAGAGATGTGATTTACTCAAGCTCCCCCAGCCAGTGAGAGGATTAGAACCCACATCTCCTGGCTCCTGAGCTAATGATCTTTCTATTACCCTTTCTATTACCACCCCTACCCCCCCCCCCATGTTGTCTCCTCTTCATAGGAGGGGAATGAGTCAGGAAGCCTTCATTCCATCATGACTCTTTGGTCACAGTCTAGCTGATTAAATGTTCCATTTGGGTTGGAGTTTGGGGGCTTCCTCCCAGATTCTGTGCCTGGAGAGCAAAGAAGGCCTCAGCCACTCTTCCTGACTGTGCCAACAGATGGATGGATCATTTTTGCCATGTAAAAAAGTAAGAGAGATAGAATAAAAACCAACCCTCTTATAGAATTGCAAAACATTCCATAGTTCTCCTGATATGCGCTGGCAATGGTGGAAAGCCAAAGAGATACCCTGGGACTTGGTTTCTGGGGCCATTGATTTTCAACCTTGCCTACAGCCTGATTTCTTGGCCCCTTGGTTCTATGCTAATTTTCCTGAGCACCCCTTTCTAATCCTGTCCTGCCCTGAAAGGGAGACCCGAGGAACCCTGAGGTTCTTAAGGGGCCAAAGCGTTAGATTAGGCAGGTTACTGAGCTGGGAGCCAAGCATTCTTGCTTAGGGTCTTGGTTCAGCAACATGCTCACCATAACTCGAGTGAGTAATTTTCCCTCTTAGAGCCTCAGTTCCCTTTTCTGTAAAATGGAGAATATTTATACTATCATCCTCATGGGATTGTGAGCAAAGTATTTTGCAAACCTTAAAATGCAATGGAAATGGGAACTATTGTCATTACGCAATGGAAATGGGAACTATTGTCATTACCTGAAAAAATATTAGGGGTTGACCTAGCTGATCTCTAAGGACCCTTAGAGTTCTGTGTGGCTTTTTGTCAAGGATTCTGTAGATTCCTGTACTGGGTGAAAGGTTGAATGGGATGACTCCTGAAGTTCCTTCCAACTGTGAGATGCTCTGGTTTTAAGCTGTGGGGATCTATGTGGACATTGCTGTCTGAACTAGCCTGATGTTGGAGCGGGGATGATGGGCTCCTTGCCTCATCTGTTGCAGAGAGACCTTTTTCTTCAACACCGGGAAGTATTTTTCTGCAGTAGTAATTCCTCCTAAACTTTTTGCCCCCTCTTACCCTCATGGAGAGCATTCTGGGGAGAGAGAGGTCTCATTTTCCTGAAACTTCTCCAATAAAAGGATTTAGTCTCCTAGAAAACTTACCTTAGCCCCCAGATGTCTGAGGGGCAAGATAGGGCCTGGTGGTTGAGTTTCCACCTCTGGACGAATGTAGATGATAGGTCCCCTCAGTTAAGGGGGCTCTGGGGGGAGCTGGTGAAGGAAAGAGAATGATGAGAAACTTCAGGGTCTCCCAGCTCATGTACAATCCAATGGTTCCATTCCACTTTTACTCCTTGTCCCCTTCCCTCTTTACCCTTCCCTTCTCCCTACTCCCTTATCTCCAGTGTGGTCCAGGAACAGCAAGCCTGTCCATACCACCATCCTGAACCCCCACATCCACCTGATGGGTGATGAGTCAGCCTGCATTGCCTATATCCGCATCACACAGTATGTGGACGCCAGTGGTATCCCTCGCACTGCCCAGTCTGAGGAGACCCGCATCTGGCACCGCCGGGATGGCAAATGGCAGATCGTCCACTTCCACAGATCTGGAGCACCTTCAGTCCTACCACAGTGAGATCCTTTCTCTTTTTCTTTCCTCCTCTTCATGTCAGGCTGACCCCTATATTGAGCCTTCCCAGGGGTGGAATCCGAAAGGGTAGCTGTGGTTTGATTGAATATCAAACAGAGCCTAAGTCATTAACTCCTAGGCAGACAATCTTCTGTTAATACAGAACCACTTACTCTAACCCAGTCATTCTAATTAGGTTAGGATGCATTGGTGTCAAAACAGTGTATGATTCTTTAGATTATTTTTAATTGGAAATTATCACAATTGTAGTCCCAGTAATAGCTGACATTTCTCTAGCTCTTAACACTATTCCATCTGATCCTTGAAGCAACCCTTTGAGGCAGGAAGTACAAGTAGCATTGTAGGAGGCTATTTTGTATATGTATTTTTTAAAACGTTAGAGCAAGAAGGAAACTCAGAACATTGAATGACAGGACTGGAAGAGACCGTAGAATTAAGTGTGGGAACTGAGGGGAACCCTAGACCACGGAACATCAAAGATAGAAGGGGCCTTAGACATGTGATCATGGGATCTAAGGCAGAAGGGGCTTTAGAGGGGATTACTAATCCAATACCCTCATTTTACAAATAGGGAAACTGAAGCCCCAAGAGGTCAAGTGACTTGCCTGCAATCACACAGGTAGTAATTGTCAGAGCAGGGTCCTCTGTGGTCCTTTCACTATACCAGACTCTTTCCAGATCATACGATATGGAGTGCCAGAACTGAAAGGATGTTAAGAATTTAGATATTCTGATCCTCTTATTTTACAAAGGTGGGAACCAGAGAGGTTAAGGTATTTGCCCAAGGTCATACAACTTAGTAAGTGGGAGAGTCAGGTGAACCCACATCCTTGTTAGGGAGTCTGTTTTAGAACCTAACCCCCACAGGATTTTAGGGTTTTCATAGCTATCTAGAATTTGAGAACATTTATAAAAGCTGTGTTCCACCCTTCCTTACTCCTTCATACTCCCAAACTCAGCTAAAAAAGAAAAGGCATTTGCCTTATCTTTTATGAATCCTGTTGGTTTAGCCCAAATAATTACATGGTTGACATTAAAAATACACGTTTAATTGTTCTACATTTCAAACATGTTTTCTGTAGTAGAACTATTCTGATTGTTGTCTTTTTTTCCCTCCAAAAAAAAAGTTCAGAGGTCACACTTCAGTGTCTTTTCAATACACTCCCCTTCCCACCCCCATCTTCACCCTCGTCTCCGCCCTTCTCTCCTCCCAAGCCACCTAATAATGATAGTTCACATTGATATAATGCCTTGATGTTGGCAAAGTGCTCTGCCTAGGCACACCATGATGAACGCATTCATTTTTTACAATCCTTTAAGGTTTACAAATGTAAACCTGTTGTCTTGCAACAAAAATCAGTGAGGGAAGTAGTGTTGTCATTACCTCCATTTGACAGATGAGGAAACTGAGGCCCTGAAAGGTGACCTGACTTTTCCAAGGTCACAGAACCACTAAGTAGTGTAGCTGAATTTATGAAAACAAACTTATTTGTATTACTTTGCAAAAGGGTTCACTATAGAATTCCTTTAAATAGCGACATCTCTTGATGTATTCAAAGGAGCATTCATTAAGTACCTACAACTTGCAAACCATTGTCATCCTTTCTGAGAAATATGAAGATTAGATGAGATATGGTCTCTGTCTTCATAGAGCTCACATGTTATCATATGGCCATAATATATGCAGAGAGTTCAACAAGACATATTCTATAGATTTCTTTAGAGAGGTGCAAAATTTTGCATGAGCAAGGTCTGAAAGGCAGAGGTCATTACTGACTGTAATTTTAGGGAAATCATCCCAGAAAGGGTAGCATTTCATCTGGGCTTTATAATATTGGTAAGAAATTTAGCAGATTGGGAGGGGTTGCATTCTAGGTTTAGAGGATAGCATATGCAAAGATTTGGGGTTGGGAAATCATATGGTATATATAGGAGGTGGCAAGTTGCCCATGTTGGACATAGTGGGCAGTATGTGCAGGGAAGTAGAATGAGACAGGTGGTACCAGGCTATGGATCTATGTAGGTGGAAGGGTCCTGTGGTCATTGAAGGTGTGGATGTAGAACCAGGAGACAGGCTGGGAAGAACTGGAGAGACTTTGCAATCATTGCGTGGAGATGAGAAATGAAGTTGTGGGAATGAGTCAGATTGTCATACACAGCACAGGAAGAGAAGAGACCAAGGACAGAAACTTGTGCAGTTATTACATTAAGGGTCTAGGTCACAGGGGTGGGGAGCCTGCAGCCTCTGGGCTACATGTGGCCTTCTGGGTCCTTGAGTGTGGCCTTTTGACTGAGTCCAAGTTTTATAGAACAAATCCTTTTATTAAAGGGATTTGTTCTGTGAAGTTCCTAGACTGTAGGAAGAGGAAAAGGAGCCACATCTATGAAAGAAAGCTAGTCAAATGTTGACTGTGGTGTTTTTTTTTTTTGGCAACATGGCTTAGTACATAGAATATTGGGCTTTGAATCAGAAAGACATGGGGATACAAATACAGAGAATGAAACCACCTCTGTTCACAAGGAACTTATATTCTATTTGGGGAGAGAGAGGAGGGAAAAAGCATTAATTATGTGCCTACTATACAGGCCAGGCATTATACTAAGTGCTTTAGGGAAGGGAATAAGCATTTATATAGCTCCTACATGTGTCAGGCCCTCTATGAAGGGTTTTTTACAAATATCTCTTTGAGGTAGCTGCTGTCATTATTCCTGTTTTATAGATGAAGAAGCTAAGTCTAACAGAAGTTAAGTGACTTGCCCAGGGTCACACAAAGAGTCATTATCTGAGGCCAGATTTGGACTCAGGTCTTCCTGACTCTGGGCTCAGTGCTTTGCCCACAGTGTCACGTAGATATTGATGCGTAATATTGCACTGGGACCTTTGGAACATGCTGAATAAGTATAGACAGAAAAGTTGTAAAGAGAATAAACACAAGTTGGTTGGGATGGAAAGGTGCTAGCATGTGGGAGGATCAGGGGAGTCTCTCTGGAGTAGAAAATGGTTTTTCAGCTGGGTCTTGAAGGTAGAGAAGGATTTTATGAGCTGTAGGTAAGAAGGGAGGACATTCCAAGCTTGGGGGATGGAGTGCCTTGTCTGTATGAGAAACAGAGGCCAGCTTGGTTAGACAATGAGGCTGGTAAGATAGGTTGGGGCCAGGTTGGAAAGGACTTTCAAACTGAACAGTTTATAATTTATTCTAGAAATAGTAGAGAGCCACTAGAGTATATTGAAGAGCCTGGTCAGAATTGTACTTAAGGAGGGGCAGCTAGGTGGCCCAGTGGATAGAGCACTGGCGCTGGAGTCAGGAGGACCTGAGTTCAAATATGGCCTTTGACACTAGCTGTGTGACCCTAGGCAAGTCACTTAACCCAATTGCCTCACCAAAAAAAAAAAAAAAGAACTGTACTCAAGGAAAGTCACTTTGGCAACTGTGGAGAGGGTAGACTGGAGTGGGGAAGGACATATGACAGGGAGGTGGGGGCCAATAAAGGGGGTGTTGCAGTAATTCGGGCAACAGGTGATGGGAGGGATTGTTGTTGTTCAGTCAATTAGTCATGTCTAACTCTTCATGACCCCATTTGGGGTTTTCCTGGTAAAGAAACTAGAGTGGTTTTCTATTTCCTTCTCTAGCTCATTTTACTGATGAGGAAACTGAGGCAAACAGGGTTAAGTGACTTGCCCAAGGTCACAGAGCTAGTGATGTCTGAGACCAGATTTGAACTCAGATCCTCCTGACTCCAGGGTCAGCTCCCTATTCACTGCATCACCTTGCTGCCCCCGTGAGAGGTGGGGCAGGGGCTGAACTAAAGTAGTGACTGTGTGGGCAGGAGAAAGGGGTAGATGCAAGAGATGTTGTAGAGGTAGAACAGCAAGATTTAGCAACTAGTTGGTTATGTGAGGTTAATGAGGGTGAGTCAAGGATGACCCCTAGGTTATAAACCAGAGATCTGGAAGAATAGCCTTTGACAGAAGTAGAGGAGTTTGAGTTGAGTTGAGTTTGACTTTGACTTTGGGCAAATACTGCATTGTCTACATGCTGCTGTGTGCCTCAGTTTCTTCATCTGCAAAATGGGGAAGAATTAGTTGCCTCTAAGGTCTCTTCTAGTTCTAAATCTATACTTCTATAACCTGTAATCCTAAGTATATTCTACCTATTATTGTCACCTTGAGTGTCTTTGTTCTTCTCTTTTAATCCTTCAACTTCTTTTTTTCAGTTGAAGCTCTGATCGGGTTGTGCACTCCCTGGCTGTACCACGGAGATCCACCCTTCTTCATCTGTGGCATGTGGCTGCTGGTTCTACCATGTGCTGGAATTCCCACCATCATCATCATCCCCACCACCAAGCTCCCCACAGAAGCCAAGAAAACCTGCCAACCAACTCAAGCCATCATGCACCAGAGAGCAAACGGCCACAGTTATTTATTTACTTGCATTTTTCCCTGTTTTTCTCTCCCTGTTTTGCTTTTCAGTTTTGGATTGTGTGCATGAGCCAGGCCCAGGGGCCCAGATTACCATTCCTCTGCCTGGGTCAGCTGCTCCCAACTCTTGGGACAGAGAACAATGTGGAAGGAAGGGACCCCTCTCCCCATCCTCCCTCCCCCTGCCCCAGGCCTAGGAGCTGACAATTTCCCAAGTCCATAGCTCTGTTAGCTATGCTGCTGATTGCACCCAACCCTTAATTCCCACAGTCTAGCACTCCTTGCAGAAGCAGGTAGATGGGGAAATCAAGCCTAGCTAGCATAGTGAGCAGGTCCCTGTTTGCCAGCCTTCCTGAGGTCTCAGGCCTGCCTTCTGTGTTTCTGCCTCTCTTTTGAGGCACTTTTGGGAGAAGGGCAGCTGACCCAATAGAGAAGGTCATTTATGGCAAAGCAGGGAAACTGGGGAATCTGGCTGCAAGCATGAACTAGCCAGATTCTTTACCTTGGGCTTTCGTATACAGCTACCGCCTTTATCCCTCCCTTCTATGTTCTTTCCTTTCCCTTGGTGAATTGCTTTTCTCCTCCTACTGTTCTCTCTCTCCCTTTTTTTTCCTTCTGTGAAAATTGAAACCGATTTTATTTATTCATTCATTTTTTTTATTTTGGGGAAAACAATCAGTGTTAAGAACACTGGTGCTAGACCAGGGAACTTGTCCTTTCTTGTTGATTTGGTGGGGCCGTTTGCTTCAAATAGGGATTTCATCGAACCCATTCTTCCAGCATAGATTGAGAGTTTCTGCTTTAGTAACACTTGAGAGAGGAAAGCTGATCATCTTTTTGGGGGAAAAAAGAAAAACTAAAAGCAACCTTTAGGAATCTCTTCTACTTTGCCCGCATGCCTTTTGATATCCAAACTTCTGTGTATTTGGTAAATTGATTTCATGTACTTGCTGAAATGGATCTTTATGTAATAGCTAAACATCTCAGATTACTTTGGGGAAGGGTGGTTTAGGGTAGGGTAGTTGTTTCTTTCACTTCTGTCTCTTTCTCTCTTTTCCCCTTAACTTCTGAAGCTATAGATGTGTAACAATTGGGTGTCTGTGGTATAGGTGAGCACTACCTCTCATCCTTGGGGGAGTCTCTCCTTTCTATCCTCTCCTGTGCATCAGCCCCGCTGGGTTCCCTCCTGTTCTGCTGACAGAGTTGGAGTTGGGAGAAGCATTGCATGCTGACGTGAATAGTGAAACAGCTGGCCACATCTGACCACAGCTGGCCATGGAGGATGTCAGAAATGACAAGAGAGAACTTGGCCCATTGGAGGAATGTCTTGGCCTCCTGGCTCCCCACCAGAAGCTTCCCCTGGACCTTTATGAAGAGCCAAGCCATCTGTGTGGCTCAGTGGACCTTACCTTTAACAGGGCATTCCAGCAGTGGATGGGAGAGGTCAGGGAGACCCTATGTGGCCTGATGCTGTGTGGCCTTTTCCCTGTGGGGTCTGATGGTATTTCTAGTGTTTATTTCACCCTTCAGTTTCCTGCTTTCTTGCTCTTACACTCCCTTGGTTTTTCTCCCTTTCCCCCGGATTGACTCTGACGTAAGATACCCTGGCCCTTCCAGCAGGGCTGTGTCTGCACTGTGTTCCTTGCATGACCTTACACTGTATATGCAGTAAGTTTATTGACAAAATGAACAAAACCAATCATGTGTTTTGGACGAAAAAAAAGAAAAGAAAAAAAGAAAAAAAAAGAGATCGTATTCTCAGTGTTCAATTTGGAATTGCGCTGCTGCCTTTCTGTGTCTCACGGCCTTTGTATGGCCATGTTTTGCCAGAGCAAGATCATTTCTTCTGACTATCTTAGGACAGGAAGGCCCAGCTAATGAGGGGCCATAGACTGAGCTCTGGGACATGGCTCCCATCCAGCCCACTGACCTCCACATGAGTCCTGTGTGTGGAGCGAGGGTAAGCACAGGACTATTGAATGATTTCTAATCTGGGCATTTTTTAAGTCTTCCCCGCTTGACTTCTCTGTGAGTGATCTCCTGCAGAATGACAGACAGTCCTCCATCCCTGGTCATTTCCCAGCACCTTTGGGTTTGTTGGCTCCTTTTGTGGGGATGGGGAAGTGGGAAGAGGGGCCTGTGCGGGTGGGGGAATTGTAGCTGGAGGTGGGGGAAAGACAGGGTAATTAGAATTCTGAGGTGTATCAGTTGGGTCATTGGAGGCAGGGGACAGAAAACCTAACGAGTTATTCTCCACATCATTGGGTCAGTACGGTTTTAAGTCATGGTCCTCTTTGCTTTACAGGTCTCTTCTGTAAGGGGCTGAGGTAGGGGGTGAGAGGTAGGGAATGTGTACTTGTGCTAATCAGGTTACCAGTACAGCGACAAGCAGATGCTTGTCCTAAATCGTAGTGTTTTAGTGGGAAATATCTTCCAGAACATCAGGCAGAGAGCGTCCTTGCCTTCTCACTCGGCTCCCCAGATTAATTCCTTTGCAGTCTAAATGGTCTTCCACCGATGGCCCCTTTTTGTTTGTCCCTTTTAGGAAGCCCTTTTGCTCTCCCTGGTTGTGCTCTTGGGCTCTATAGTGACCAGAGCTTGCTCAGTCTAATTTCCTCCAAGCTTCTAACATGTCTTCCCCTAGAGCCCACTTTTCCAGGGTAATCTTTCAATTATAGGTTTCCCCTGTCCTAGAATGAGTGCCCACTCTCCCGTCAACCCAGTGGACCAGGTCTCAGGAGCTTGTCATTTCCTTTCTCCAGCCTTGCTTCCCTGTCTGTAAAATGATGGAGTTGGACCAGATGAACTCTGAGACTCTTTACTCTTTTCAAGTCTATGATCTCCTACCTCTGGTCCCCCACGGGGCCCTGAGCATATTGGGGGCAGCTAGAGAAACTCTAGACTTCTCTTAGACACTGAAGAGAAGAAGGGTTCTCTCCGCGCCCCCTCCCCCTTCCCTTCTTTCCTCCAACCTCAATCTCTTTCTTGGTACTCTAACAACTACCTGGTAGCCTGATCGTGGAAAGAGCCCTGGAATTTTGTGGTTTATCTTTTTCAACTTTATGGTGTCCCCCTGCCTGCCTGCATTCTAGTCTTGGCTTTACTAAGAACTCCCTGCCTGACCTCTTTATCTTTAGGGGCCTCAGTCTCCTCATCTGAAGATGAGGGTAGAGTAGGTCATTGGCCCAAATGAGCTTCAATGTCCCTTCCAGCCCTAAAGTTTCAGCCCAGACAAGCATCTGAGCCATGGTATTCTTTTATTCCCTTGCCAACAGTGTTCTATCTGTTACTTTTTATCAAGACGTTTACACATCTGTTATCTGAGTCTATTTTCCAAATTGCCTTGTGCGGGAGGTGAGGCAGGAATGGCCACCTTAATTTTTTTTTTTTGGTAAGGCAATTGGGGTTAAGTGACTTGCCCAGAGTCACACAGCTGGTGAGTGTTATGTGTCTGAGGTCGGATTTGAACTCAGGTCCTCCTGACTCCAGGGCCGGTGCTCTATCCATTGCGCAACCTAGCTGCCCCTGGCCACCCCAGTTTTACAGATAATAAACTGAAGAAGGATTTACTTATCCCCATGCCTGTTCTGAATGGAATTCCAGTACCAGCCCTCCTCTTTTCCACTTCTTCTTCTTCTCTCCAGAGCCAAGTCACCCCACCCCTTAGTGCCTTATAGGCTTTGGGACAAGCTGTCCCTTCCCCACCCTGCCCCCTGCAGTGGCTTTAAATAGTAGCATCCAAAACAGTTAGATGGGCAGGAAAAGTCACTCATAGTGGAACTGAGTCAGTGGCCATTTCATTTCCACATATGCCCCTGTGTCTTTTGAACACCTTTTAAAACCATGCTGTATGAGGATTGCTTGAAGGAACTGGCAATGTTGAATTTGGAAAAGAGAAGTCTTGGGGTGGGCATGATCTCTGTCTTCATGTATCTGTAGAGCTGCCATGGGCAAAGGCAACTTGGCTCTCAAGGTCCAAACAAGGAATAGTGGATGGAAGTGGCAGAAAGGCGGATTTTGGCTCAATGTAGAGAAAGTTCTAATAATCAGAGCCATCCAAAAGTGGAAGGGCTTGTTTGAGAGGCAATGAGATCCCTTTTGCTTGAGAGCCTCAAGTGTAAATTGGATGACCACTTGTCAGGAATGTTGTAGAGGGAATTCCTTCTCAGGTATGAGTTGGTCTAGAGGGCCTCTGGGGTCCCTTCCAGCTCTGAGATTCTGTGATTCTAGAGAGACCCTAGAGTCATCGGAATGCTGGCGTGTGTGTGTCTGTGTGTGAATATGTGAGGATCATCTCTCTTCCTCCTCCCCAATTCATCACCCTCAGGTAGTGGGGTGGCCCACCTCAGCTCTCAGGCTGTAATTCCATAGTCCCTGTAGATATGTCAGAGTTTGTGGGGGGCAAGGAAACCCGTCTCTCTTCTGCTGGGGTCATTCTCTGCCCCATTCCCTACTCCCAAGCCCAATCGCTCAAGTGTTGGGGAAAATTCCTTGACTGGGGATTGGAGGAGAGCATTGCACCTTGGTCCTCCTTGGTGGCTAGCTCAGATAAAGGGACACCAGATATTCAGTGGGGATGGAAGAGGAATGAGAGTATGCAACACATAGCAGGTGAGTGTTGGAGTAATCTTCACTCAGGCTCCCTCAGTGTCGCAGGAGCCCTTAGTGAAGTCAGATCCCATGATTACTGTTAGCACTACCTACTCTAACCATGGAGCTATCTGGCCGTACCCCAAAAGTATTGTCATTCATCGATGCTGAGTAACAATAAGAACGGGGGTGGGAGAAACACTAAACCTTGAATTTGCAGTCCTGGCTGTGTGCTATTTAGCTGCACTTTGGACAAATCTCTTAACCTCTCTTGGCCTTGGTCTCTCAAGTACAAAACAACTAGATGATTTCAAAAGCTTCCTTCTAGCTCCAACATCCTATTAGCGTATGACCAAGCAAGTACGCTCTTCCCTCAATGCCCGTTCATTCATCCTTTCTTTCTCTTCTTAAGGTGAGCTTTCTTCTCTATCCTTAGCACTGTTGCCCCAGAGACACCCACTCGTCCCTCATTCCACCCTCCAAGCAGGGCCAGCAGATGAAGGTGGGTTGGGGGAAGGTAAGGCAAAGGGGATATAGAGTAGGCTTTCTCTTTTCTAACTCTTGCGCATTTTAGAGGTATGATTTCTGCTCAAATGGGCAGGACACAAGCACCCAAACTTAGTGTGTGGATCTCTAGAGCCCATGTGATTGCAAAAAAAAAATAGCAGAGGATATATTTTTAAAAGCATATTTAAAAACACCCCTCCCCCCGCCCTTTACCTCTCTGCTCATGGAGCAAAGCCTGGCCCCTGCTCCTCTCTGGTCTGGATGAGGCTTGAGGGGACCTCATTTGGGGCATGTTTGCCAGTGTGCCCGTGCTGCATTGTTACTGTTTTTTGGGGGGGTTGTTTTTGGGGAATCTGTGGCTGTGACCTGAATAATCGCTGTTCCAATTTTATGTTATTTGGGAGGGGGAGGGAGGGAGTGAGGGTGCTATCTGTTTTATTCTTGATGTTTCCAGTGCAATAAAGAGTACTAACTTCTGTGCATGACAAGCCTTGGTTGTTTCTTGTTGGGTAGCCTGAGATAGAGTGAGGGGGAGACTAGGTCACCAGCATCTAAGCAGCTGGTCTCTGAGCCAAATCATGGTTCAGAGAATTAATTGGCAAGGGAGAACCCCTGGAGGGCCCAGCTGGCCCCCTTGGAGCTGTCAGATACCATCAGAAAGCATTCAAGTTGGGGAATGGGGAATAGACTGGACAATGTCTTAGAACGATCAAATGGAGAGACAGGGCTGAGTTTGGAGACCGAAGACCTGGGTTCCAATCCTAGCTGTCCTATTTAGCTCCGCGTCCCCTTGAGCAAGTCACCCAGTTCTTCATCTGAGCAATGAAGGGTTGGGACTAGATGACTTCGTATTACAGATTTAGAGTTAGGAGGGACCTTGGAGGAAACTGAAGCCCAGATAGGTTAAGTGACTTACTCAAAGTCTTCAAGCTATACGTGGCAGTCAGGATTCAAAGCCAAGTTCTTTGCCTCTGAAATCCAGAGAGTTTCACACTGCCCCATCCTACCTCTCTAAGAGACTTCTGATCTCTCTTCCAATTTTAAAGGCACAAATCTATGATTTTGTGATTCTCTTTTTGTCTTTGTCTTTACTCATAGCCCGTCTCCAGTGCTCTTCCATCCAGGATCCCTGATGCCATAGTCTTCCCCACGCTCAAGGCTGTTTGGGTCACTCCTCCTTTCTTAACTGGTACGAAGGGCACCGAGATATCTGCCTACTTGTTCTTCTCCCCTTTAGACTGTAAGCCTGGCTCAGAAGAGAGAAAGCTGGACTTGGATTCAGGAAGGGCTTTATTCAAGTCCCTCCTCAGATACTTACTAGCCAGCTGTATGACCTTGCTTAAGTCACCTAACTTCAGTTCTTCGTTTGTAGTTTATGTGATCTATCCTGACTGCAGCTTGCTATTGCTATGGTTTTTGTACTTCAGCTCTTCTGTTATGAGATGAGCTCTAAGTGATTTGTTAAAGTTAGTTCTAGGAGGAGAGAGTTCCCATGGGGTGGAGGGTGATTCCATTTGGGGTACATTGAATCTGAACCTTAAGTAGACTCAGGAGTAACAGGAAAGTGAGATTTCCCCTTTAAAGGACCTGTTAGACACAAAAAATGTGTAGTAGGGGCATTTCCACTTGGGCAAATCCCTCTGGCAGCTGC